CTACATCTAAAACCAAAAACTGTGCAACCAAAAAAAGAAAGACAGATTTCCTCACATCGACGCACCTTTGGCGTCCAGCTCGTGCAGCCGCACGCCATGGAATCATATTGGAGCGAGAAGATAGCTTCTTGGGTTGAGAAACAGCTGAACTCTGACCTATAGAGGTTCCTTTATGAGAAGTTATAGGAGCAAAAGAACCACATCAAAAACTTAAACAAGGGCTTAATACTTTATTTATGTCACCAAATGCACTAAAAAGCACAAATCCCTCATAAAACTATTTTGTGGACTGTAACTGTGAAAGACCCTAAATACCCAAGATGTCATCTATTTTGGTCATCAGGAATCAAATGGTTTTTTTTATCAGTGGATAATTTTACCAATTAACTTAAGCACAGGAATGAACCAAGACGCTGTATCGAGAAGGTCATGAAGCAGAAAATTATCAAGTGTAATTTTACACCTGGAAATAGGGGAAATAAAACTAACCAAGAAGAAATTCAGTTCAGAAAGCTTTTAAGAATAATGAACAATCTATGTGGATCACACAAAACAGAACTATTTCTCTTATTTAACATGACAGATCGATAAAAGCTAAAATCAGGCCTTTATGAATTGGTAACTTCAACCATTTAAAGTACAAGATATCATTCTGGTGTTTCCTGTTCTCACAAGCATGTATTGTTCCACGGTGAATACAACCAGATTTTTCAAAATATGCATACACATATACCTTTCCTATATGTTGATCTTCGTCTTACTGTAACAGGTATGACTCCTCTTTTCAGTCCAGACGCTTTGTGTAACTCTGTGCTAGTTGGTTTTATCCAGCAGTACTACAGGAGAAAATAAATTATCAACTTAAAATAGTAATTCATACTTTAAAGCACTGTGAAGGCTAATACCACAAAGTGTTACCTCCGATGATTGTCCCTTAGCGATCATTAGTACTTTCTCGATCACAGTTTTTATTAAAACTTTGTCTGTAAAGAAAAAAAAGTTGGGCGGATGCTCAGTTGTTTCTGTATCAGAAAAACAGTTCTGCATCTACAGATGAAGGGCAAAACAACATGTCATAAAATCTTTAAAAGCTTGAAACATTGATTTCTACTAAAATGCCTTAATACAAAGGCATTTACCTTTCACGACATATTTCTTAATACATTCTTTTAAATAAAATCTAAATAAATTACATAGAACGTTGTAAAGTGGCAAACATTTAAGTGAACGTTGGATATGAAGATTTTTGCAGGATTCGTAATTATGGACAGTCTTACCAACTAAAGGGTTATTGCGGATATCCAACACACACAGAGAGGAATTGGTTTTCAGAGCTTCTAACAAACGACGAGCTCCTTCATTGGACAGACCACACTTCTGTAGATCCACTGCTGTTCAAGGGACAAAAACCAAAAACCTTTCAGCAAAATCTAATAAACAGAAAATCAAACAAATTTCCAAGTACTGTGTTTTTCTTCTTCTTCTCCTGTAATCTACATATATAAACCTAACCTTTAACCCACAGGTCCTCAGTCAGCTCGTGTGCCAGAGCAGCAGCACCGTGATCCCCGATCAAAGAGTTTCCATTTAAAGTGACACGCCGGAGGCCGCTCATTACATCGAACTGAGGCAGTCGATACCTCAGGGATTCTGCCCACGCAGCACTGTGTCTCTGCATCGCCTGGTGCTAAAACAAATATAATGTCCTTTTTTCAGAGCAAATATTTCTCACATGGAGTCTGGCTCTACAATAATATGTAGCTACATTTATCTTAGCTAAAATGCTAATTCATTACAATTGTAGTAGCTAGAAGTCAGATTTTACACCTTGATGATATTGGCCATATGCTCCGCTCCTGTCCAGGTTAGATTGCATCCAGTAAAATCCACCGATCTAATGCTTGTAGAATATTTCACACTTTGGCAAATGACTGAAACAAGATACAACATATTTATGTGTAGAATAAATTGAAAGAAAATCATGTCTATGTGCTACAGGTAAGAATATATAGCACATACTTTCTAAGCCCTCATCAGCAATGAGACAGTTAGCCAGAGAAAGGTTTTCCACAGAAGAGCTTTGTGCCAAACCCTGGAATCACAGACAAAAAAACCCGTAATATTTCTACTCTTACATAAAACAGGTGTTTATCTTTTTTCTAAATGTTTTTTCAAGCAGATAAAATGTTTTCTTTTTCTTTAGATTGTTCTGGGGACAGAAATCTGGAGCAGGGTTCATGTCAAAAGTAAAAATTTGGAAGATTATCCTAATTTCTACAATATCAAAAAGTGACTTAACAGACAATTAAATTCCTGTTGCAGGCTGTGTTTACCTTTGTTAAAGTGATAAGGTCTCTCTCTCTCAATGGGAGTCCATGAAGATGCAGAGTCTTGAGGCAGGGAGAGACAGTGAGACACTCTCTCAGAGCCTTACACAGTTTAAATGTCATGTCCTTGGAGCAAATGGGTGGGATCTTCCTCCTGCTGCCATACTTACCGTAAATTATATCTGAAATGATTAGTGATTGAAGTAAATAGGCAAAACATTTAATGTACAACGTTCATTGCTTTAAAGCCTGGATGAATGTGCCCAATCCATTTTTCATTGGCATTTCTTACCTGAATCTGCAAAAGCTAGACCTGCCTGAAATGTGCTACTTATTGCAATATGATGCAGGTGCTTGTTGATGGATATGGAGCTGAGAATAGGTGGCCAGTCCTCTAATTTCAGCTTGTCTCCATTAAAGTCCAGCATTCCTTTTTCTAAGTTTGTCTTTATATCACGAAGAGGAACTGAGTCCTGCTTCGCACATAAAAACTCATAGTATGCCATGAAGTCATGAGGACCCTGCTGTCGAATCTGAGCACTGTTTTGAACCATCTTTGATCTAGAAAACAAAATAAATAAAGGTTTAAAAAGACATGAGATTTTTGTTTTTATTCTACACTGGAAAAGACCATGTGTGTGAACAGCCGTAAGAAAATGGTTGGTATTTCCCGAAAGAAAACTGCCATGATGGGTATTAACATATGAACTGACACCAAAATGCTAATCTTTTAAAGACAAATTTCGGATTAAAAGACTTCACTTAGATTAACTCAAGATAAATAGACCGAGAGTTTAACTTGAAGGTTTCATTTTGTCACGTTAAAAAGTATACATATACATTATTTTCAGGTTTTGCAACTCTTTAAAAGTCTGTAAAAAAAAAAAAGCTTCAATTATGCCATCGGTTAGCTAAACTGAGCTCCTGGCAACCATCTCTATTGTTGACAAGTCCATAAAACTCCCGAATTTTATGTATTTGCAAGTCATATAAAGTACTAGTAAAAAATTAAACATACCTTATTTGTATTTCTGGAGACTCTATCGAAAAGACATAACTCTCGCGTTGTGTTTAGGCTGGTTTCTTTACCATCTCTACGGTGTGTTTATAACGGTTAATAACGAGCTCAAAAGTGGCGCTGTAGTTCTGTCAGCGCCCACTTCTTCTTCTTTGTGACTGTCTCCAGTCAGCAGGTGCTGCCACCTATCGACGCAGATGAAGCTCAGACGATTCAGAAGAAAAGCTTTATTTACTACTGTAGTGTTTGCCTGAAACCGGCTAATGCATTGGGTTTTAAAACGTGAAACAAATATGATAAAGAACCATAATTTTGTTTTTTACCAGTTCAACTGTTTAACCCTCCTGTTATGTTCATTTGTGGGGTACAGCAATAATGTTCAATTTGACCTGGGGAGTTTTTAATCATGCAATAGTGTTTAAAATCTAAAGATTCCTCCAAAACATCTTTGTAGTATCTAATTACTAACTCCAATACTAACAATTTCAATCAATATTTGTGCAATTATGTTTTTTATTTTTCTGAAATTAAGAATTAATGAAATTAAGGATTCATGTCATTTACTCATTTGGACATGAAAAATCTGTGGGATGAGGCACTTAGACACAAGTGTTGTTGCCCACCCATTGTTTTATCTCTCCCAAAACAATTTCACAATTGCTGGTTAGGCATCATTTAACAACTTACGCTTTGATGAGCAAACAGCACCATTTCCAGCCCTTACAAACCCTGACAAAATCTTTTCTTGTAGCAGACACATTCTCAGGTCAGGAACTGCTGGAATAATTACAGTTAGGTTGATGGAGATTAATTAGATAGAAACAATACAAACATTGAAAACAGCTCTTAAGATGGTTTTTTGTAACTTGAGCATAAGACCTTTTTCTTCACAAAGAGGTTTCTGTTGAAAAAAATTATTGCCCGTGATTTGACAGTTGTAGTACCTAGTTATTGTATTGTTATTCTTGTTTAAATATTATTGTTACATACATCACTGAATGACTTTTCACTATAATATATTAAAGATATGTTGTTGTTGTTGTTGTTGTTGTTGTTGTTGTTGTATCAACCTTTCAGACCATTCATTCAATACTTCTGCTTCTGGTCTGATCTGCATCCACAGAATCAGAACCAAACATGGAAAAGCAGCATTCAGCTTCCATGCACCAAAAATCTAGAACAAACTTCCAGAAAACTGCAAAACAGCTGAAACACTGAGTTACTTTACATTCTTACTGACAACCACATTTTTAGAGTTGCTTTTTAACCATAAACATTTTTAACCCTAAACATGACTGACATATTTGATGTGTATTGATGATTGTGATGATTGCACTCATCAAAATCTAATTTTGGTTGACAATTGTGGACTGTAAAGTGCCTTCTGACTTTGTATTTTTATGTTTTAATGATGTGAAGATGTTTGTTCCTGAAATCTGCTATACAAATCAAATTGACTGATGACTGATCAAGTTAAAATCCCTTCCAGTCCGCCCTGTGAGAGCCCCGTTCTTTCATCGTGACGTTGTGCTGCATCTTCTTCCTATGGTGTCGAAGGGGAGGGGAGAAAAACGTCTACCTCGAAGCTGATTGGCTGGTGAAGGACGTCAATCATTCCGGTGCTCCGCTGTTTTCCAGAAATACCAGCAGCCCGCTGTCTGGACAGACATCGGGAAAAGTCAAACCGTACAGGCGAACCGCGAGGGTGGGAACACAGCGTCTGTAAGAAGCTATACGTACTAAATTTAACCTACGAAGGGATTTGTCACGGATTTCCTTCCATCTAAAAGGTAATTACGATGTCATTTATTTTTATTTTCTACCTAATTTAACGTAACAGGTTAGCTAAACCGTCCGGACTCCGTGGTCAGTGGCGTGGCCCCGATGCTCTGGCTAGCAGCGGCGGTGTTTTTCCAAACATATCACTGGCCTTCGTTTGCGTGGACGACTACCTTTGAAGTCACTTAAAATCAGTTCAGGCCATTTTTTTACCCAGTCTGTGACTGTTAAAAATGGACATTTGTAATGGTGGATAGTTTACAGTTGGTGTTTGTTGTGTTCTTGTTCGCTGATTATGTCACGCTCTCCTGCTGCTAATGCTAGTAAAAGCGTCCTGGGATGATGTACTTCACACTTATCTGCCGTAAACAACCATTTATTTGTGAAAGGTATAGTTTGAATTACTGAAATAGTTCACACAACATTATCTGGGCACAGAGTAAGATGTGAAATATTTTAAAGCCTTTTATTTATTTATTTATTTATTTTTCTGTTGTTGGTTTATTTTTCTGTTGTTGGGACCCCTCGGTGGGACAACTAAGGCGACTGGAATGGGACAGAACAGCTTTAATATAATTTTTTTCTCCATCGTTATAATTTATTCAAAGTATTGCGTGGTTGAAGAATTTAAAAAAAATTACGTTTTTTTTTCATCTCTGTGATAAATGAAATGAAACTCGTATTATCCATGTTTCTTTATGTTGTTGGCTGTGGACAGGAAGGATCGCCTGTAGCAGTCTGTATTACAGCGGTAGAGGAGAAGCCTTTTACTGAAGACACTGTTGTTTTATAACAATTTCTTGAAACGGGTGCTTAGATTTCACAATAATTTTATTGATTTCATGAAGAACTCTTGTTTGTGCCAAGCTCTCCGGATGTCTCAAAGTTGTCTCCAGAACAGAACCAATCTTTGGCATCAGGTTGTTGAGTCTCTTTAAATCCCTGACTCTGATGTTGTTAACCCAACAGATGATGGCAAAAGATATTACATTTTCCTCAACACACTTACAAAACATATATAGAATCTGCAAACAGTGAGAGATATAAGCTTCCTCAAGAAATACAGTCTGCTCTGTCTCTTGTTGACGACTTCTCTGATGAGTCTACAGTTAAGTCTGAACTCTGAATTATTTGTATTCCTCCACTTCTCTCATTATAGAAATATGGTTAGACCTAACACTTGTTTTCTTTTAAACCTGTAATATCTTTTGTTTTCTTCAAATTCAAGATAATATTATTTTATTTTTCCACTCACCTTCTTGTCCATCTCTGATAGACTCGCTATCTACATAGTCATCTGAAAAATTATCCACACATCACTTTGAGCAATATATTAAACAAATCTTCCCTGACCGGGAACTGTTGGGTCAGAAACTCAAAATTCCCGTCAGTAAACAGATCTTGTATAAACGCTACCAAACGGTGTTGAAACTTGTTTCAAAGTCGACCCTGCTACAAAATGAACACTACTGGAAGTGATCAATTCTCAGAATCAATTAGGTGTTTAAAAACGAAGGCAGAGGAATAAGGGAGGGGTAACAAATTTCAAAAGAATTTGTATGTTTCAAAAGATGGATCAGAATCAAAATATTGTTATAATTTTGACTTAAAACCTTAGCAAACCCAATTATCTCACACATGCAGAGTGATATTGCCTCTGAACTTTATTGTAAGATTTCATCTGAATAATTATTAACCATGCTGGGTTGGAACACTGCAAAGTGTGCTGTTCTCATGTCCTCTTAAATCAGAATCAGTCAAAACCTGCATTGACATAACAGTTTTATAAACAAATTGTGGACTGCAATTGGATACAATATTCTATTTGGACTTTATCTCTTTTCTGAAAAATGAAGAAACCTGTTACTGTCTAAGATTAACGTTCCAAATATTTCAAATTGTTAATTGGCTTAGCATATTGTGTCTAAATACATGTTATGTCATTAAAAGAGTTGGTGTCTGGAAATATGTCTTTACTGAATGTAAACAGCCATTTCAGCTTAGTATAATTTAACTGAAAGTTGCCTCCTAAAATGGAATTTAAGTTGTAAAATATTGAGAGAAGACTGTATATAAATGAAGATAAAAAATAAATAAATAAAATGGAATCCATAGGACTCTAACTCTAACCAATTATTCTGCTCCAAAGCTTGTCAATACGTGTAATTTTCTTTTCACTTCATTTTTAGGTAAACCCAGTTTCATTAGGACATTTTTCTGGTCATTTAATTGTACACCTTACCACCTGCAACTGTCTTAAAATGCTTCTTATACAATTAAGTATCCTCTGGGGTGTTGTACTGCCTTCTATTACAACATCTTTTATAGATCACATATTTATTTTAGTGGTAATTTGAAAATGGGGGGAGAAAACAGACAGCTGAGTCAAATTAGTGATCAGATTTTTTTTTTTTGAGACAGAACATGTGACATTAGGTTGTCTTTTCATAATACCTGGTATTTATCACCATAGTGTTGGATAAAAATAAACTCCCTACTTGCAGTACAATAATGTTCAACCTAGTCCATTCTGCCTTATTCTTTCTTTTTTGTTGTTGTTTTTCTGTTTTGTTTCAATGAGTCACCATAACAGGTTTGTTCTGCCTAGATTAAAAATAAATTGTCTATTACTTTTGTGAGTTTTTTTTGTTGTTTTTTTTGCATTTCCTGTTGCTTCCAAAAAATTGCATTCATAAATGAGTACAGGAAATTTGAGAGTAGGAAGGAAGGAAACGCTGTTTGGATCAGCTCCAAAAGCTCCACAAAGAAGACTGAATGTCCTTTTTCCACTGAGGTCAGTGCGCCGGCATTTGACATGGACACTCTCCCTGTTTTTCACTGACGCTTTCAGTGAAAAACAACTTCCCGTCTTTTTCCCACTTCTTTACAGAGTCAAGCTTAAGTAGTTGTGACTTTCAGTTATAGTCTCTCTTTTATAGTACACCAGCCTCACTGTGCGCTTATCTGGTTGTCGTGGTTCTGGTATGACGGTGTAATGATAGAGTTTCTGAGCGAAGGCGGAGAACTGATTTGAAGCCTTTCTGTGTTTGGCTGAAGAAAATAAAAGATTGTGATTGTTGATGAAATGAGTGGTTTTGATAGGGCTGGACAAAGAAAAATCAAAATATCATAATGTATCTGACAGAATATTCACTGAACTCCAATCCAGAACCAAACAGCATTCTAGGAAATGTAGGCAGAGAAAAGGCTTTTGCTGCTCAAACTCTCACAGAGAGCTAATATAAGCAAGGTGAGAATCATCTAACTCACTTAGTTATTTGTTGCCGAACAACAATCTGTTGAATAACTTCCACTGCAGCATGGCTAGGAAAAGTCATGCCATGATTTTGGTAGTATTTCAGATATTGGAAGCAAAAACAAATATTACTGATATGAAATGGCTATGTCATAAGTATTAAGCTCCAGCCCTGGTTTCTAAAGGTAAATTAAGCTTGTCAAGAAGGTTTCTGATTATATAAATAGACAACTAATATCAATATTTGAACTGCTGCAACATCCAAACATTAAATTAAATGAGTGATTATATTGTAATTTTCATTAATCACTATGTTTGTTTCAAATACATTTAACACTTTTATTTTTAGTAAAAAGACATGCTTATCATTACCAGTATCAAGGTATTGTAAGGTCTTCAAATTTGAACTTGCTAAAATTTTTCATCATTTTATGAAATAACTGGAATATTGAAACTGGAAGTGAGCTGGAACACTTTCCCATACTTGACAGAAAACAATTAACAGTTAAATATTCCCACCCATAAAAGACAGGCAGCTGTGGAGTGGAAACTAAAGGAGGGCCACTCCTCATGTTAGTCAGAGTAAACAGTGGCTGAAATACAAGCAGTTTTGTCATTTTATTCTTTTGCAATATTATCTTTTGTCTGTTAATTCTCTTGGATTTCTATTTGCGCAACAGACTGATTAATAAGTAAGCTAGCTATTAATCAGGAGTTTATTAAGTCTTGCTGAGCCTTAAGCGCTACTGTGGTAATTGCAGCTTGTCAAACAGTGTTACTCAAAATGTTACTTAAAATTTCAAGTGACATTAAAAACATAATGTGATTTAATTGATAGCTGAACAGCTGAGCTCAGTGTGTGCTGAAGTAATTGCACTCATTGCAAATATTTATCTTTGCATAAATCTGAAACTGTATTTTCATATTTGTGTTCTTTGTCAATTTCTGAAGAGTGTTGCCCCTCTTTACAGATTCAGTCAGTGATTTAATTCAAGGTTACCAACTTTTGCTGACGTTATTTCATAAATTCCATCCCATTTTTGGTCCGTCCTGCATGCTGGACTTAAAAAAAATGTGTTTCTTATGTAGAAATGCATCTGAAATATATTTTACAGATGGGTAATATCAGGGGTTACGGTGCTGCTTTCTTTCTTTCTATTCTGTTTTTAAAGAATTCTGATCTTTCTAAATAGGATTAATCCAGACACTGAGATTTTGTTTGGTTTTTAAATAATATTATCTCTGTGGTTTGAGTATTTTGCGGTCACATATATTATTGCTGCGGGAAAAGGGACTGTTAACCAATGGAGAGTTATTGATTTGTGTGGAGCTATCAGTTCCTTGATAAGATTTCCCAGAATCTGCTTTTTTTTTTTTTTAACTCTTTACTGCTTCCCTCTGGAGTTGAAGGCTATATGTAGAATCTGTATTGTGGGTTCTGAAGTATTTTAGTTTGGTACCAAAGTTGACAATGAAACCATTTTTGGGATGCAGACATACTAAAACACAAGTGTGACTTTGTGTAGGGCCTGCAGGGTGTTTTTTCTTTTTGGTTTTGGCCCAGATTTGCAGAAAGACGCTTCGCAAACAGCTCTGTTTATGCTGAGCTTTGCTTCTGAATTTCTGCAGAAAGAAATGTTTTTTTTAGGGTGGGCGTGGAACTTCCAAAAGTCTCTAGATATTAAATAAAGTGTGGAATAACTCAGAAGCATAAAGCTGACTTAAAATAAGACTTTCTGTTGCCAAGTGTGTAGAAATGAAGAAATCACATTAAGATAATCTGGTTAGCTGTTCTGTTCAGCTGCATAAATAACTGCTGCAATGAGGCTCTTCAGTGTCTCATGGCTCAGCTTTTAGATGATAAACACCTGGTTGGGTTGTTTTTAAGCGGATCTATAGTGAATTCATCACTGGAAAAAAGCTGCACTTGAAGACGTGACACAGATTTAGCTGCTGGAAAATCATTTAAGAGGGAGACATTTTTACAAGAGTTCAGGATTTGTTGGAATTGGAGCCTATCGTAGACCTCAACAGATGAGATGCACTACGAGGAGAAGCGTTTTCAGTCTGCCTTTTTCTCTCTCTTTTTTTTTTAAAAAGCTGCTATAGAAAAAGATTTAGCCTATCAGGTTTTGTACTCTGATGTTTTAAATTTAGGTCAATAAAATTGGAAATGTTAGACTGCAGAAGTACTTTTTCTCCATTTTATTTGTGTAGCCTCCCTGCCATATCTGTTACCCACAGCAATTATTATTTTTGCATTGAGAAATGAATCCTACTGACTTTGTCCTTTAACAAAAATAAGACTAAATTTATCACTGCTGCAAACATAAATTGGGGATTTCTGTTCTGTCATCCAGCAATGAACCAATTAAATGCCTCACAAGTACTGCAGAAGACAGTATTAACAATGTATTTGTCCAGACTTCAGTAAAACAGGCTCTGTCGGTAGGAAGAGTGTTCAGTTTGTACTGTTACTGTAACGGGCTTGGTCGTCTTTTATGTTGTGCAGAAATGTCTGAGGCCTGCCACAGCTTGTTTGAGGAGAAAACCAGCTGCCAATAAAAAGAAAACAAAGAATCCTACAAACAAATGTGTTCATGTGCTGTTCCCGCAAAAGATTGTGTTGTGCTGCCGAGCACTATCTGTTTGTTCCTTAGAGCTTCTACCTGATAGAGTTGACATGCACCATTTGTTTTCTTTTTTGGTCCTCTTTACACAGCTTTTGCTTCTAGATGTTTACATGTTTCAATTTTATATCATACTACTTTCTGAAAGAAATTGTATTTCAAACTTGTTAAATATTCATTGATTGTTTACTCTAACAATTTACAGTAGAGAAAAATTCTGCTTTTCAAATACTTGTTCACGCCTGATTAAATGTAATCTCAACATTTTGCTTTGTTTCCTGGAAACGCTGAACATTTATAATTTATCATAATCATCATTTTTATTATTATATCAGCTGCTGCACTGGGCAAGCTGAGATAATGTAGCTTTTGCTTTGCCGCCAGGTGCGGGAACGGGGCTGTTGACGTCAAACTGGATTCCTGTCCCTCCATCTGTGATATGAAATGTATCTTTCAATACTGGGAAACGTTCCATTTTCAGGACTTTAAAGGACTCTTTGTGCTGAGACTAAGTAGCAAGCAGCATTTAAACCAAAAAAAAGAACATGGTTTGACTGCAGATGATTCACGTGGGCTCCACATTTTTGTAATTGAAGACATTCAGTGGTTCAGTTTGGATGAACTTTTGTGTTATCAAATTACTGTGCAGAAGCTTAAGACAAAGACGGTTTAAATTTCAAGGGTACCTTGCTAGCATTATGTTGGACCTCGTTTTTCTTTCATAACGGCCTCAGTTCTTTGGCACAGATTCATGAAGGTGTTGGAATCGTCCTGCAGAGATTTGATGACATCAGTCAACTGCTGCAGATTCGCTGGTCACAGATCAGTGTTACGATTCTCATGTTTCACTAAATCCTCAGGTGCTTTATTCGATTACATCTGGTGACTGTGGGTCTGGTGAAGCTGAAGTTTGAGAAAATCTCAACAAATCAGCAGTTTCAAAAATACCCTGACGAATGATTGCTGGCGCCCATTTGTCTCCACCATAAATTATTGTTATGCAATTGACTAATTGGCTGTTTGTGGTTAGAAACTATTTCGTTGTTGTACCTAAAAGTATCTGGTGAGTGTGTTACTTGTGAATTAATTAGCAAATCTTTCCTTTGTCTTTTCACGTTCATCTTTGTAGGTTCTGGCTTAAGGAAGACAGGGTTAAAGGCTAATGCACAGCATTTCTGTTGGTGCCAGAAGGTGGGCGTTCCCTGGGAAATCATCTGGGAGCTGCTGTGAGGAGAATGATGGCTTTTCATGCCCGTTTTCAATTTTATTTCAAGCTCTCAAGTCCTGGTTTACGGCATGCCTCTCTGCAGATTGTGTTACCAGCACAATTTCAGTGCTTTCTCATATTGCAAGCTCTCAGTTTACCAGAGTGAAATCCCAGAGCATGCGTTCCCTCTAGGCCATGACTGATGATGCTTCCTCAATATGATAACAGTTATGCACCAAGGCCTTCGGATGGAAGCTTTTCAGATTGTTTTTCTATTTTGACTACATTGTTGAGGTCGGCCATGCTGCTCAGTGAGCCAAAATAAAGACGGATGTCTGCACAAACTAAAGGGGAGATGTTCTACAGCTGGGATCATTGGTTGTGTTGTTGTGAATTATGCATTATAACACTATTGCATTGCCTCCAACCTCTATAATGAGTTTTCATTAGAACAAACATTTGTTTGTGATTGTAAATGTTTTTTTTAGTGACAAATATAATCAATTTATGTTACTAAGGACAGCTGATTTATCATTGGTGCAAAGCTTTGCTCATTCTCAAGAGCATGAAGGCAAACCATGTGAAAGTTTTTGGTAAAATAATATAGCATTCATCTTGAAACAGTTTAGATTTTTTTTTTTTATTACTGAAAGCATTTCAAAGATGAGGGGGACTGATCTGCTCTACGTTTTATTCTCGGTTAGGTTTATTATTATACTGTTTAATCAAAATTAGAGTTAATTGGCATCAAATACTGTTTGATGTTGGGGAAATAAAGATAATTAAATCTTTAGCAAGTCGGATGTAATCACAAGATGGCTTTAAGATGAAACCTAAAAATAATCCTCTACCAAAATATTATAGAAGATGTGTGTTTGTTTGTTGGGTCCAGTCAGGAGTCTTGCTGCATATGTTTTTACCATGTGGAGCCAATAAGGAACGGTTTTCTGCATCACAAGTAAAAAATACGTTATAGTGATCTAAACCAGAAGCAGTTATATAAAAATAAATATCACCTAACCATCACAGAACAGTAATCTGGGAAATATTATTTATCCTATTGAATTCCTATTTGACTTGGATTAAAAATCAGATAAAGGTTAGGGAGGCATAATAGAGATAAATTCAATTGATTCAGTTGGATTCAAAATGGCCAAATCTAACAAAGAATTTGCTGTTCATTGTTATGAAAAAAAACAAAAAAACTCATCCAATTTGTTCTCAGACCCCAAAGAATTGCAGAAAACTTTTAGAACAGACCTTTAGCAGTGTTTGTGCTGATAAAGGAATGAAAGATTCATGAAGCAAAAGACTTGATTTAGAACGCTGCTCTTCCAACAGAGATGAGTTCAAGTTTTTCTCAAGAGGCGTTCATGGCTGTAAGGATGTTCATGAAGCTTCTCACATGTTGACCGGATAAAGAGGGAACTTACTCGATGAGGTTGGCCAAATGTCTCAACATGTACAGTCGGTAGCTAATAGCTTCCCATCGGTCAAAAGACTGCATGAACAAAGAAAGGAAGTCCAACAGCCTTGTATTCATGCATTGCAGGACTCTCTTTAAACAACAAATTTAGTTTTTAACAACTCCTTCTGTTGTTTTCTTTCTATAAAAGAGGAATTTTTAAAAACATTTTAAATGGTATTCTTAGACTTGTGTGTTTCATCATTTTCTCTGTCAACTGCCAGTGATTGTTTTTCGTTTCTTTTTTTTCCCGTGTCTGATTGAAACCTTTTCCTGGCAGACAAGCGTGGGGGTTTGGCATGAATCCAGGCAAAGCTTTGGAGGGAATGGAAAGCGGTTGAATAGACTGCAGCCTACTCCCTAAATTAAATCTAAGAAGAATCAAACCTGTGTAACCTGTATGTGTAAGAACATTTCTTAGGGACAGAAGTGGGATTTTCTTTGTACATACTCGTTTTAATCAGGTTATCCAAGTACTGCTTTTGCTTGTTAAAGCCAGTAACTCTGCCTCTTCCACCACTTTACACTTTAAATGATGACTTCAACAGTGGCAAAAGCATTTATTTATCTTTTTTGTTCTTTTTTTTTTTTTACACTTTTTATGTCTTTCCTGTTGGCAAAAAGAAAACTAGTTTATTTATTTTAACCGCAATACGGCAACGCAAAGAAATGCAAATCTATGCAGTGAAAAGAAACAGACACACGGTATTAAAATTATTTTGCAAATGAAGATCTGATCAGTCTGGCATGCATTTGTATTCTGCTCCTTTATTCAGACGCCCTGAGTAAAAACAACCAGTTTGCAACTAGAGCCCACATCTCTTGGCTGTAATCAAAAACAACACCGCACTTTTTCTCAGACTAAAAAAAAAAACATTCTGAACAAAAAAAAAAAACAACTACTTTCTCACCATCTTTTCATAATTATGCACTCTTTGGGTAACATTTTTTTTCTCTAAGGATTGCATTAACACTGTCTCTCTGTTTTCCTCTCCTAGATTGCCCCCGTCTCTCTCTTCCGTCTGAGGATGTTTAGCTTGTTGTCACCATAGTGCAAAGGACATCACATCAGCATCAACAGACGGTGGATAATTATGCCGCGCTTACTCAACATCCTCACCTCAAAGCCTAACTGTGGCCCTGTCTGGGTCGCCTTTGTTCTGCTTGGCATCTCAGCTCTAAATACTCAAGCTAAAATTGGTAAGTATAGATCTCTACTTGGAGCTTCTAAGTTCTTGTTAATGTGTCTTTCTTCAGGAAAAAAAAACAAACGAAATGGGAAATACTTGTTTTAATTATGTTTTGTTTTATTTTCTTTCCCAGTCTTAACTGTACCCCAGCAAGTGAGCCTTTCAGCCAACTTTTTCACTCAACAACTAACTATTTCCTGGTTTGGAGGAGAGGCCACGACCTTTGACCTTATCATTTTGAGAACCGAATTCAACGAAACTGTCTTTTATGTAAGGATATTTCTTTCTTTAAATTCATGGACCAAAACTTATTTTTTAAACCTAAACATAATCGATTATATGTAGACTTCTAGTCAATAAGTCTAGATGTAAATGAACCTGACAAAAGAAATGCTAAATAATATGCACAGACCTTATTTTCTTTTCCTTGATGAATTAGAATCTAACTTTGTCAATGTTGAGTATAAAATCTAAGCATTTAATTATATTTGTGTCTAACTGTCTCAACTTGTGTACAAACTACAGAAAAATATCTTGCAATTTTCAGTTTAGAAAAATAGCAAATCTTTAAATGGAAATTTTTTAGGACGCATGAGCAATATTTCAGTTTTCTTAATTTCTGCTAGAGCTGCAACGTTTGCCTGGAATCACACACCATTTCCAGGATGTCACCTTATTCACTCTGCTTTCTCTGTGTTTTTTGTAGAACACAGTCCCAGTAGAAGTGAACCAGGATGGTGGTCGCCACCAATGGACCTGGACTTCTGTTGAACCTCTGGAGTGCACATCATTATCAGTCAAAATCCGCTCAAGAGATGGAATAACAAAAAGTGAATGGAGTGAACCTCAGATCCTGGAAGGTCAGTTGGAAATGAATTTTTCTCAATATAATTTCTTATTGGAGAACCTTTTAGACTGCTTCTTATCTGGTTGTTCAATTTTACCATAAATTTGGCAACAACTCAATCTTCTCTTTTGTCCTAATCCATTGTTGTCATTTCTTCATCTCTTTGCAGGAAGGGATGTCCCGAGCAACAGCGCTTCTCAGATGTATCCTCAAGACAGAGTCGTGCCTGTAGGGGCCAACACAACTTTCTGTTGTGTTGTGGGGGAGGGAAAGGAGTTTAGAAAACTTCTCTACGGCTTGACGGAAATGAACGTTACACGTTTGAGTCGACGAAGTTATGCCGCCACTGCTGTTAACCAGCGCTCATCTAGAAGAACTGGAACAAATGTTTTTTGTCGTTTAAAGGACAAGAATGAACTGGCAGGATCGGTCATCTTTGTCGGATGTAAGATGTGTGGGTGAATGGTTGATGAATAATTTATCTTATTGCATAAATAGTTGGAAAATGGGATTATTTGGGAGGATGGTGGGAAGTGGACCCTAAATTTATGCTATAGTCTCTCTTTGGTGGAAAGTTGTGGGATATGTAGCTGTTCACATTCAATGACACAACTTGTAAAAAGTCCTAAAATTGAATCTTTTTCTACAAGAGTATAATCTCACACTTAAAAATCAAAAACAGTCTAAACTTTAATTAGATTTACTAAGTGGGGAAGGCCAGAAATCTTATTTTCTTGGACTGAATATATAAATATGACATGAGACATTGGATGATTTCCCTTATCTACTCTAAAAAGTGGAAAAGCAGAACGTGCAATATATACAGTACATGGCATAAATGATAGACAGAGATATGTGTTCTATCAGGTAACCGTGATAATATTTGTTGGTGACCTAATTGACTGGCATTGAAACATAGAACAAGTGCGAAGAAGCATGGCTGAGAGCGGGTGAAGCTCGTTGAAAAGACAGGATCAAAAATGTCAATTACCTGGTCTGTTTTTAACATCCAATGGTTCTGGTGCGACGCTCGGGAAGACCAAGCGTCGCAGTGATGTCGCTGTCGGCTGGGTGGAGGTGGAGTTGTTCCCGTCAGCCAGTCAGTTCCTGAGATCACAAGCAAATAAAAAAAACTTGTAAAAGCACAAGGTGGGTCAGTGCGACCCCGACTCTTAAGACTGGGAAGGTTGAACAGTCAGACCAGGAGCAGGAAAAATGTAATCTGCAAATATGTGGGGTGGAGGAAATACAGGCAGTTTGTTTTACTACCTTAAAACAAAGCATATGCTTTAATACCAGCAATGCCAATCAATGCAGCTGTCTACAAGTTCCAGTCAACACTGGAAGACAAAGCAGGATTTGACGCACATTAAGAGTCTCATTTGAAGGGAGACCTGGGGATGATGGGCAGCAGGATAAAACAAAACATGTACAAACATACAAATAGCATCCACAAAAAGACCTAAAAATTGTACTCATGCATATGCATTGCACTCAATTAGTATGTGATTTAGATCAGTGTTAATCTTCATAAATCTGAAAATGCCTATGACCATTTTTCACTCTAAAAGTAATTTTTAATGTGTGTTACTGCAACTAAAACAATTGATTTCAGTGATTTCTTTTTATGCACCTTTAATAGAACCTCTAGTATTTATGGAGATTTCATATGTCTGTTCAATTTGTTTTTTATAAGAAACCTTTACAGTGGTCCTAATGATGCATGCATAATAATGATGCTTATAATTAGTGTAATACAGCATCTCCATTTTAATACTGTCCCTATTTCCAGATCCACCTCTACTCACCAGCTTTGAGTGCATAACTCATGACTTGACCTCAGCTGTGTGTTACTGGGATAAAGGACGAGCCACCTACCTGTACGGCAAAATGGAAAACAGCTACTCCATAAATAAGAGGTATGTAGTCACCATAGCAAAGTAAATACTTGCAAAAAGATTTCCACGTGGCCATAAACTACTGCGCAGCACAGCTGCACACACTTAGAGGTTGAAACTTTCACCATTTACCAAACGGAAACTTACCCAGTGGCAAAATTCCACATAATTCCTGCTCAACGTGGCAAGAATAATTTGGAGAGCATTGCTTCAGCCTTTATAAAGGAGCCTATGCTTAAATTACATAAATATGTGAATCTCACAATCAATCATAATCTACAAAACAATCTGAAGGATGAGATATTTACCTCTTTTTAGAGTTATGGTAATAATTGTACTTAGAAGGAATTTTTATTTTCTTAGAATGAGTGCAAAGGTGGATTAAAAAAAAATCAAGATTGAAAATCAGCATTTGTCTGAAATGTATAAAAGAACAATAAAGTCTGTCAGCAAGAAAGGATTTAAATGGATGAACATTTACCAGCTACTGATTTGAAAAAGATTCAACATCAATTTACAGATCACCTATCAGTTCAGAAATAACGGCCATTAAGTGCTTGCCTTCATGGAATAAACATTGAAAAGAGCTAAAAGAGCAAAACAATTTAGGCTCCAGCATCAGTTTTTGCAAAAGACATTAATGCTGACTGATTGATATTTCACTATGTCAGTAAGTCATTAATGATGCTTTCCTGGCAGCGTTTTTTTTTTTTTTATTCTGTCGCTTACCATTTGGGATAATGATTATGAGATGTTAATAGTTGAATCTTCTCCCAAAAAATATTTTTCTCTCAAAACAAAATAACAGAAAAATGGAGCTAAAAACTATAAAGCACTTAGGCTAAGTAACAACTTACTACCCCATGTCTGCCTAATGGGTTGGCTCTCATCCAGACATTTTGCAGAAATCTTTTGAAAGCTGGCCAACATGTCCTTTATTTTTGATCGACCACATCACTTCTTAAGTCTTTGCTTATTTTTCTTTCTGAACTGCTTATGGAGAACCTGTAGATGAATGCACAGTGCTTAAAAAAACAACACAAAACAAAAAGATTATTTCGTTACAGTTTTTTGGTCCATGGACCAGATCAGGATTTTAAACTGGATCTTAAACCACATTTGGTTTAGATGTGTAAACATTCTGTCTGCTATTTTGTTAATGAATATTTGCAAACAAACTAAAATGAGAATCCTGCCCAGGTCTCACAAGTTTAAGTGTTATGAATTTTGAAATGGTGTACAAGTTGGTTTAGATGCCAAAATGGTAAATCCCAAGTAAATTGTTTTCTGAATGTTACAAAAAAAAATCTAAAAGTCTGGTGAAATAATGGATTTTTAAACATTTATAGAAATCTTGTCTGATCTGCTTTTAATTAAATACTGTTATTGCTGTGTCATTATCTCTGTAGCAAATGTCCTGACAGGAAGTGTGTGCTGCCTCAGTGGGACGGTAACTGGACTCTGGTGGCTGTTAATCCCCTTGGCCAGTACAGTCTGACTTACTCAGCTGAGCTTCTTCACAGAGGTAGGTGACTCGACCTTACTCTTCACCAAACCGTCTGGTATACACTTCCGTTGATCTAGTTCCCGCAGTGAGATTGGTGAAGACATAATCTGTATTTTTCATAAGAACTTTTGCTACTCATCGGCTCATGTATTGTTTCTCTGTTGCCTACAGTGGTGCCAGTAGCACCAGAAAAGATGTCTGGCACTGCCCAGGCCTGGAATGCCTCTGTGCAGTGGGAGTGGCCATACAGTAGCTATTCCACCCTGGCTCTTGTCTGCCAGGTACGACTAGCCAGCCACAATATATTGGTAAGTAATTTCTAAAAGTTTTTTTTTTTTAATGCAAAATTTGAATAAATACCCATCACTCATAAAGTGGATTTGCATTTCCAACATTACTTTTATCTCTAAATCGTTCAAAACAATTGGAAATGTTTAATGTTTTCCTGCCAAAGCATCACTACGATTCAAAGTATTGATTTTCCACTGAAAAGCTCATTACAAAAATATTTATGGTTAATATTATCTTAGTGCACTTGAGTGGCAGTGGGCAAGATGGTAGGGTTCTGAACTAGCGTAAGCTCATAAATAGAAAACCTCATTAAAATAATTTTTCTTGACTAATAAAATGTAGTTTTGATCATCTTTTTTTTTTTTTTTTTGTATTTCCTGTAGCTTAGAAATTTCTCAGGTGTGGGTGTCCGTTCTGTTTTCCTGCCTCACCTCCACCCTCACACCAACTACAGAGTTCGAGTCCGCTGTGGATCCCAGAATCACTTTTTGAGGTGGGGCAACTGGAGCGAAGAATTTAACTTCACAACCAAATCATATGGTAAGAGTTTGTGAATAATGTAATCATAAGGGAAGGCACCTGATTTGATTATAGTTTATGTATTTATTTAAGGGTCTTTATAAAGACATCAAGACCGTTGTTGTTGTTTTTACAGGGTTCTGTTCCATTCATTTTTTTTTGGCAGAAATTTCAATTTCAGGTATAGTGTAATTATTTACCTTTTTTTGTTGTTTTTGTTTTTAGCTCCTGAAGCCCCTGATGTGTGGATGTGGGTGAACAGGGACAACTCTGTGAGGGTTATATGGAAGGTGACGTCCTTTTCTTCAAAATCTTTCTTTTTTCTTCTTAGAATATGCAGCATTTACATCTGGGTAACGAGCATGACCCTAACTCTCTACATTAGTCTTTTTTCACATGAAGAAGTTTCTTATTTTGAAACTTTAACATGAAAATAATCTTTCTACTTTCTGCTCTCGTTTCTTTTAGCCTCTGACACAATGGCAGAGCCACGGTGTGCTCACAGGATATGAAGTTACTCTCTGGAACGTTGAAGAAAATGAAAAACAAACCCATAATTTATCGCCAAAAGATAATTCTTTGAACCTCACTCAATGGGCATCAATCACCAGTGAAAAGAAAGCCATTGTATCAGTGAAGGCAAAGAATGTGAAGGGGATGTCTCCACCTTCCAGCATAATGTTAGGTTTAATAGGTATGTGTGGAGAGAGGGTGAACTTGTGGGATGTTTCGCCAAACATGCCTGTGTGTTTTAATAAGCCTGTGTTTTGTGGACCGTGAAAACAAAGGAATGAGGTCAATACCACATACAGGAAAAGAAGAGATGTCTACTGCTTTACTAAAAGCGTTCCTTCTCATTTTCAGATGACAAGTCCACTCCTTTGACTCGGACGATTTATACCAGCAGTGGTTTCAATTTGAGCTGGCCGTACAATGACAACAGTACATGCAGTTATTTGGTTGAGTGGTGTGAGGCTGTGTGCACGTCAGACTGCGCTGTGGACTGGATCAGACTGGACACTGGAAGCACTCATGTCTCCATTAAAGATTCTATCGGTAGTCTGACTTATGAATAACTCTTCTAAGTCAAATTTAAAAGCCATTGTTTGGATTTTTTTTTGTACATTTAGGGAAAATATTTCACATTTTATTATATAATATTCTGCAAAATGTATAATATTGAATGTATATCTTTTTATTTATTTGTTTGGTCATCAGTTAAATTCCAGCCAGGTGTGAGATACAACTTTTCCCTCTATGAGTGCCCATCAGTTTCCCCAGTACTGTTGCAGCGCTGGCAAGGATATATTCAGGAGCTGTGTAAGGATTGTGCAATATCCAGAAAATGAAATCTACTTTGGTGATTTTATGTACTGTTTTGTTTCATTTACATCTGTCTGCTGTTACCTCTGCAGCCCCATCCATTTCTGTCAATCTGGAGATCAATCAGCAGGACTGTGACGCTGTTCTTCGCTGGGAGGAGATTCCACTGGTTGGCATAAGAGGCTTCCTTCAAGGCTACAAAGTTTACAAAGTCAATAACTTCTCCGATTTCACACTACTCGGTAAATTTATCAGTTTACTGTCATAGTAAAGTGTTTTATAAAGGGGAAAAAATGTATAAAACATTTCTTTTCTCTCTTATTTTTGCCATTTAAGTCAACAAGTCTGGTGGGTGAAGATGTTAATTTTACTCCAACATATTTGTTTCTTCCTTTTCTTTTCTGCATCTTTTCCAACCTGCCATTTTTGTAGCCAATCTGACCCCTGGAATGAGGACTTTCACTGTGGACGGCCTCTCTCACAGGACCTACAAATTCACTGTCAAGGCGTACACATCTGCAGGAGAGGACACAGGCGGCACTGCTGCCATCACGCTGAAGCAATGTGGTGCGTGAATTACAAATAAAATTGAGCTAATGTATGTTCAAATAAAATGGACATATGTAGCTAGATAGATGTTAGAATAATTATGTTTTGTTTTCAGTCTTCCATAAGTAGTTACCAGTTTGTTTTTCATTTAAAGGTTAGTTTAGTTTTCTCTCAGCCCAGTGAGAAAAGAAATTTGCTAAAGTGTGTAACCATTCTTCAACCTTAAACATGTTTTACCAGATAAATTCTCTTTAGGCCGAGATGCTCTTTAAGTTGTAAAACTGTCTGTTTACTTTCTGTGCTCCCCCTTTTCCCTTATCAGGAGAGCACCCCTTTCTTTCTTTAGATTAAAAGACCAGTTGTGAAAACAAAGGGCAGAACACATGGGAGAGCTGCTGGAAGAAGCAGCTTTTTTATGTCTTCTCCTTTTGCAGAATAATTGATTGAAATTAACATTGTCTGTGGTTCTTTTCATTTAGGTAAACAGAAATTACCTATCAAATGTTTTTTTTTCCAATTTGTTTCTTTAATAACAAATACAAAAACAACAGACATCCCACTCTTTTTTTGGTCTTCCCTTCAGATTCTCAGGGATTCTCTGAGGTCTTCCAACCACACACTGGTCTCTCATTAAGCAGCAGGGAGAGAGGAGAGGGTTACCAACCACACATGTGTATGTTCTTGAAAAAAATATGTTACTTTTATCACCTAACATTCTGACAAAGGAAGAATGTTGCTCACACTCTGATGCACCCAACCTCAGTCGTGTTATTTATTCACATCAAGGCTGTTCTTAGTTTACAATGACTTTCAGCTATTCTCTAGAAATAGGAGGGGCTAATGGAAACACAGCTGCCAAAACAGTCACAAGTCTCTAGATACAATGAAGTTATCCCACAGTTGGTTTTCCGAGTCATAAACTTTGACCATTAGTCTTTGATGTCCTCCTGTTAGGGCAGCTGTGGCTTCAGGCATTCTGCTTAGTTCGGCACAATTCCTGCTCCTCCAGAAATGAAAGAAAACATGCGTCCCGAAACAAAGATGTTTTGATATAGTTCTTTGTGACTAATTTTGTGGTTTTTTGTTTGTTTGCTTTTTTTCCTAACAGCAGATGGACTGATTCTGGAGATTTTGACTGCTTTGGGAATTGTGACTCTGCTACTGACCACTGTTAGTTGCTTTTGCTTCAAGAAAAGAACATGGTAAGAATGTTTTTGATGGTTCTTTGTGTTTTTGAAAAGAATATATTGACTGTGCAAATTGACATTTCTCAGTCTCTTACTGTGTTCTGCACTGTTAAATCTATGACTATAAATGTCACACAGTTTAACAAGTGATGTTTAATTGTTTCAGGGTAAAAAAGGCATTTTACCCGGACATCCCTGAGCCCAAGCTGCCTGGTGATTGGTCCAGGACACAGGTACAGTACCACCTTAAAGGAGTCCAACTCTTCTGTACTCGCATCTACAAATGACCAATCACCATCCATATGAAACTGACTGTAGTCTCTAATTTGTGCCTTTCAGGGACCTTTGGACGTGAAGCCGTTTTCCCACAGTATAGTCCACATCATAGAAAAACCCAAGCGGGATTTTAGTAAGGACGCTCTCGTTATCGTTCCTGAGGAAGAGGATTATGAGGGAGAGGGAAATGGAGATGAGCCGGTAGACACAGATGAGCCTCAGCTGTTGCGTTACTACAACCAGGTGGTGGATGAGCGCCCCATTAGGCCGCGGTTTCCAGACTCCTCAATTTCCTCCTCATCTTCTGTAGATTCAGCCAACACTGACGTGACGTACACAGGTATCCAGACATCCCACTCTTCTTTGGTCTTCCCTTCAGACTCTCAGGGATTCTCTGAGGGCTTCCAACCACAAGGTGGTCTCTCTTTAAGCAGCGGGGATAGAGGAGAGGGTTACAAACCACAGTTGCACTCTGTAGCCCCGGATGGAAACCTAGCTTCTCCTGAGCCCATTGTGGAGCCTCATGCTGTTGGTTCTGGAGGCTACAAGCCTCAGAACTCCTGGCTTTTAGACTCTCCTACTGAGGGAGATGAAAATAGCCCGGCCCCCTCGCTGGGCTCACCCACCTCTGTAGCGTCTACTCAGTTCCTCCTTCCTGATAGAGAAAAAAACGAAGAAAAGAGGCAACAACCATCAGCAGCAGCAAGCTGGTTCACCAACCTGCTGTCATCTGCAAAACCGTAACATCATCTCATTTTGGCTGTTAGTTGGGTGAACCGCTCGTCTTTTCTGTCATCATTGTCTCATATCTACACACAAGGAAGAATCCTCTCACTGTAGCACTGTGTTGTCGAAACCTGCATCTTGACTGAGTTAATGCCATTCAAGGTGTCTTTACTAAAACATTCAACAAATATAAAAGGTTTTTTTCCTCTTTGTTTTTGGTGGGATGTACATCAAATGTACATGAGAAAATGCATTTTGTCAACAGATATCTACAGATTTGCAGTTATGTCTCTCCTCATACAATAGTTAATGTCCCCCCTGGGAAGCCTGAAAATTATTTTAAAAGCTTACTTGTACAGCGCTTTATCAACTCCAGAGGAACCCAAGGCGCTTAACACTACATTCACACACTGATAGTGGCAAGTTACTACACTGTAGCCACTGTTGCCCTGTGGCAGTCTGACAGAAGCAAAGCTGCCGTCTTTTCTGCTGTCAACTGATGAGTTACTGAAAGACAATGTCAAGTTTCTTTAACAAGGAAAAAAGTAGTACAAAAGTAGCTTCCTTTTTTTCTTTTTCTTTTTTTTTATTGATAAAAAAAAAATACTGTTTTGAAAGATGCACTTATAAAGAAGTGGTGCTTTCCAATGAGGTCTGTACATGTGTGAGGGGTTGAACTTTTAGGATATACACTACAATAAGCTAGAATATTATACATTTATGTCACTACGCAAACTGTTACTATAGAGAATTTTGTTTTGTCTTCCATTTCCAGTGAAGTTTATTTTGTTGAACACATTTAACTTCAGGCCAGTGTCTTCTTTTAAAGCTATGCTGAGCATTATTGAGATTACTATGGGTATTAAATGATCCTTTCTGTGTACAGTGCGTAAATTGTCTTCAAAGCTGTTATGCTTCCAAGAATTTGCACCGTTTCACCTTTCACTGCCTTACCCTGAAGTATTTAAAATGTTCTGCAGGTATACAATTTACAACTGATCCAAAATGCACTGTGTGGAGTTATAAATCCAACTGGAGTGTTAATGTAAACAATTTTATTTTATCTTTTTATTTTACAATTTTTTATGTGAATAACACTACATTTTACATTGCTTTTTAAATGCATACAGCCACTTTCTATTTTTTTATGGTTGGGGGAACTACATTGTATATAGTCAGGGCCTAAACTCTTGTTTATCAAAACTAAATGGTTGGAAAAATTTGTTTGTACATGAGCTCTAAATTAAAGGGCAAATATAGATTTTTTTTTTTTTTTCAGTCATCTCTTTTTAGTTTTGTTCTGACTTGTAGCTACAGGTAGTTGTGTAATTTGTATTTTCAGAAATGAAAGTAAAAATGTTTAACTGGAAGACCAGTGTACACAAGGCAACTGAAAGTGATAGTAGTTTGGAAACTAACTCAGACGTGTCTATCAGTTTAAGTGACTATTCAGGACGACAGACACTAAATTTGCAGGTTCAAACTTGAGTTTATGAATTTGAATATTAATATGATGACTTCATAAGATGCCAGAAATGTGATGAGAAATGTCTTGAGTCGCTTGAAAACTTAACAAACCAGCTACGCTTCTGCTATGAGTCAAAAGCAGCTTTGATAGCTTTTGACAAGACTTTGAATCTATGCGATTTCTGACCAGCATTGTTACTTTGATGCCCAAACAGTCGTCAATCCTATTTATCCAAATAAATAGGATGTGGATAAATAGAATGCTTAGCAATCCAAGAAGAAGTTATGCAAATCTCAATTTTTTTCTACATGTTTTAAATGTTGGGGTAAAACTCCACTGCAATTATATTGCGGTCAAAACATTATTTGGACACCATGTGTCACTTCAACCACTCTGTCATAGTAATTAGTTTCTCCCCCCCCGATTGTTTGGCAGCAAACGTCACCTCAAGTAGGAAATGGAAAAGATAAAATACCCAAACAGCAGCTGTAACTAAATAATCTATTCTTCATTTGGCTCAAATACAAAGATAAAATGCTTAGTTTAGTTTTTCTGGTTAGACATATAGAGAAAGTGTTGTTGTTTTAGTTTGATCTCCAGGTGTTTGTACTTATGCAAAAAACATAAAACTAAAATTTTAGCAAAAGCAATTATTTTCCTAGCAAACTGCACCTGCATTTATCTTGATGGGCTTGCTGTAAACAAGAACAGTTGGGTCTTTTCCCTCAAGTTTGTGTTGACATTTTACTTAAATTTAAAATGTTCAATGGTTAAATAATCCTGGGCCAAGAATTGTTTGGCACTAAAAGACAATAATAATGGCCATTCTTTTCCGTTCACAAATATGGTCAGGATATTTCAGATAACTGTCTTTTTTTTTTTTTTTTTAAGTATTTTTGTATTTGCAAGGCAAATCTTTTTTGTTTACATGACAGGCTTCACAATGGTTTCAATGAAAACATTGTTGTACATATGAAAGTGCCTCCATGTTTTTTTTTTTCGTTTTGTTTTTTTTTGTTTTTTTAAAGACTTTCAGTTTCAGGTAGTGCATTTTAAAAGTTATCTGCTTAGAACAACTGGAAGTCTTATCAAGTTTTCTATTCAAGGCTATTGGGATTTTAGGTTTCCTGGCTCAAAAATATATTTGCCCTTTAAAGAGTCTGCATCACCAGTGGTGAGGTTTTGCTAAAGTATCTGTAGGGAATGTTTATCCTTTGGACAATACTTCTCAGATTTGCTGGATTTCCCTATTGTATGTTTTTTTTCCCCTCCCCCCAAGTTGAAATGGATTCTCTTCGGCTGACAGTTATTTACTTTAGTGCCTCCAGCCAACAAGCTTTAATGAAAATGACTGTGACATGAAAACACTATTGCAGGATGTTTTTACAGTTGAGATGCTAGTGAGGGGCAATCAGCCCAGTTTTTTTTTTTTTTTTTTTTGACACTTGCAAGCTTTTTCTTTAGGTTGTAAAACTGATTAAAAAGATTGCATATGAGTGTGCAAAAATGGTGGATTACCTTAAAGTGTCATTGTTGATTGTTACAGAATTTAATTTAAATTTGCACCTTAAAAAAATAATATGGAAGTAAGATTTCTTTCCTTGTTATGACAAAATGTTATACTTTATCAGATATATTTTAGTTTCATTGAAATCTTTTTTTCATGTAATGTTTTTTTTTTTCGTTTTGTTTTGTTTGTTTTAATATTGTAAACCAACTTAATACTGTGTAGCTGAACTTTCTCTTTATCATATTACAAACAAATTTGTAATCAGTGTAGATGTGACCAGAAAAGTTATCACCGATGTGTGCATATTATTTTTCTTTCAAGCATACTTTTTTTGTTTGCTAGAAATTGCCATGTCTGGGGAAAAAGACATGCAGGGTCCACTTGCTGTCTAACATCTCAATATTAGCTCAGTAGTTTTGTGAACTTGATGCATGCTACATAAACTAAATACAAAACAGTGGCTTTGTGAACCTTTTAAAATTGTTACCTTTTTGTCATCTTTGGCTTGAAGCACTGTCTAACACATTGCATGATAACGTGACTTAAATGTTATCTGTTGAACACATTTTTACCCCCCCTGGATTTCTGTAAAATGTAGAGAGTTTATTGCAGAATATTTTATTAATGACCTATATAGTGTAGGAATTGCTTCTGAATGAGTGTGCAAATGTAAGAATCAATACCACAGATTGCTATCATTCTTGTTTAAATGCAATAAATTGCTTTTTGTCTGAACACTTGCCACTTTGTCAGTTGATTTCATTTCTGTGCTAGGTGAGTTAATTTACACTTCAGAGAGTTTACTACTTACTTTATCAGTGTTGAGTATAACATTTTAATCTGAAAGTATGTATGAATATATGTATGTGACACACCCCATTTAGCTAATTAACTCAAAACATTTGCAAAGGTTCCCTGAGCCTCTGATGGTCTCAGGCTGGACCAATATACTGCTGAGGGGACAAGTGTCCAGAGGACAGTCAATACAAAAGGTTATTGCTAAAGATCTGGTTGTTAAAGCTTATTTACCGGAAGTTAGGTGGAAGGAAAAAGTGTGGTTGACTTTCAGATGAAAGTAAAGACTGCTTTTCAAAGTATAACAATCTAAAGGAAGAGTGGAGATGCACAGAATTCACTTTATGAAGAATCCAGTGTAAGTTTCAAACTTAATGAAGATTTGGGGACCAGCTGGTGCAGGTCCACTGTGTTTATTGAAGTCCACACTCATTTGGTTGGAAATTTTAGAGCATTCCTTTGTTTCTTCTGCTGTAAAGCTTTATGTAAATTTTTACTGCCAAAGTTTTAATTTACAGGTTTTATTTTGTATTATTTATAGTTTTTGTTAAGACTCTTATTTTGAAGGTTTAAGGTAGGAAGTAGATGTAGAAGCGTCTGGTTACCAGGTTACCAGAGACGCTTGCGATATAACAGCATCGCGTTGGCAAGCAGATGAAGAAACATGATTTAAGTGTAAGAATTTACTGAATGACCTCATTTCTACCTCAAAAGGAAGGGTTAGCCAGCGAGTTCGATGGTGGTGTTGGTGTCAGGGAAACTGAAGCTGTAATAAGAACAACTTTAAAGAGTTTCATTAAAGCTGACTTCACACCAGCAGTGCGACGAACTCTTAATTGCCAGAACAAGAAGAAGAGGTGGAAGTGATATAAATGGTTAACTTTACCAAAAACTTTCAATAAACCAATATCATCAAAATAACAAGAAATAAAAGCTGGAAGTATTTCGATTTGAGTATAACTAATCTATGCAATATGATTGTCTTTTTCTAAATGACAAATATTTTTGCTGTATTCAATTTCTTCATTTGTACATGTAGATTGGCTCAACTTTAGTTTTATTTTTCTATTACGTCATTTTAGATCAAGACAGTCGTATTTCTGTTCGTGAAGACGGGGAACATTTTCAATAATTCACTCAAATTCATTCGACATGTTTTGGCACAGAACCTCCTGCCTGGCTGCAGTGCGCGCTCCCGACACAAGGGGGAACACATTTCTACAGGGCAGCAGAATTTCCCACAAAACCTAGAAATGAGAAAGTAAAATTAATTTACGTATGCATTACATTCCGAAAGTATTAATACCCCTTGAACTTTTCCACACTTGTTCGATATATTTAATCGGGGTCGTCATCAGCGACCTCATGGCAGCGTTGTTTACATATCACCATGGCAACAGGGGAAAACTGAAGTTTTCTTCGGTGTTGATTATTTTAACAACGATTGTAGTTTCTAAAAAGGAGATACTTCTCTCGGAATTGCTTATGAGGTGACATCTATTCATCAGAGGCAATGTCAGATATTTTATGCTCGTGGCTGAACCGTCAACTAAGGCTCTCTGAAACCGTCGGTAAGTGTAAATTCAAACAATCCTCCCAGAGCTAGCTTCATTAGGCTAACGCTAACACAATAAATAGCTCGAGGCAGTTGTGAAAAAAAAGTGCTTTTTACATTTTTTTTTTTTTTTTAGCATTTTGTTAAACAGTTTGACATTAAGTTTTAAAGGCCTGGCACAACTGCGCCTTTGGTTTTGATGTCTTAGATTTGAATTGTGAATATCTGAGCACAGAACTTTGTGAACGTTATAATTTAATCAGAGTTTGTGACACCATCATTGCTGTCTGCTCTTAGACCCGAGGAACTTTTCCAAGGATTTCGCTAATGGCTACCTGTTGGGAGAGATACTTAATAAATATCAGAAGCAGGAGGATTTCAATATGTTTCTGAAAAGCGAGTAAGTTCCATATTGTGAAACTAGTGATTGTATAGCACCTTTCAAAAGTTCAATGTAACCTTTACCTATGTGGTAGGCCAACTCATATGCTTATTAGAATTACAGTTTATAATTTGTTGTTTTAGTTTTTGTACACATGTGCAATGAGATTAAAACCAACTCCAAAAACAGTGCAAACAGTGGAAGATATAAAATATCAACATAAATATGGTGGTATTACAGACATACCTACATACATGTACATATAACCACCATATGATCAGCACATAGCTTTGAGTATTAAGAATTTTAAGAACTTGTTTTTGTGCTGATGCACCTGTAGCGCCTCCCTGAGGGCAGCAGGTCAAACATACAGCTAGTTTCAACATACAGCTGACCTCTGTAATGAATGTAAATGCACATCAGAGGGGGGGGCAACAATCCTCTGAGCTGGCTTTATGGCAGTTTTATCTGCAACATAAAGTTAGATAAAACTGCCTTTATGTTGAAATAAAGGCAGTTTTATGTCGGATAGATAAAACTGCCTTTATGTTCACATAAAGGCAGTTTCATATCATATCATACTCTGTCCTACTCTTTCCATTTCGAAGATGATGGATGAAAGTGCACTTTGTGAGATGGTCAAACTTATGAGATTGTTTTATAACCTAACCCTGCTGTGAATTCCTCCATTAGTTTCGCACAGACTTGACTGTTGGGCTCCTTGGTCTTAATGATGCCATTTATTCATTAACTAAACCTCTGAAGCCTTCATAGAGCAACCGGATTTATACTGAGATAAAATTATGTACAGGTGTGCTCTTATTTACTTTATCAGGCAACTTCTGAAAAAAAAAAAAGAGTTTGTTGATTTTATTTAAGAACATTAAAGTAAATGGGGAGGAACATAGAAGAACACCAAACTTTACTCTTTGTTGTTTAAAAGAGTAACTTCACAACTTTGTGCTGTTTTGTGTTTGTACATCACATAAAATCACAACACAGTTTGATGTGGAATCATTCAGCCTCAGCTTGACCATGGCATATTTTAAAGTAGGTGATAAAATGAAGTCCAGATTCTTCAAAATGAAATAAGCCTTCACCCCAGTACTGAACTCAAGTTTTCTAATCAAATAATGAATTCAATGTTATACTGTTTGCCAACTAATTTAAAGTGTTCAACAATCATTAAATCATATTTTTTATTTTAGTACCTTCGACGCCAAAACCAATAACTTTTCACGGCTTGAGCCAACTTTTAAGCTTCTGGGGGTCAGCTTCAATAAGAGCACAGCCCAAGATCTGATCCAGGAGAAGCACGGTGTCGCCATAAACCTTCTTTACCAGCTCTACGTCGCATTAGAAGAGAACAAGCCTCCAGGAACCAACCAAGTGTTGAAGCTGCCCTCCCTGCAGAAAAAGGAGTCTGAAGTAAAGTCCTATGTAAGAACATTGAATAAATATGTAAGGTATTTTGCAGTTCCAGTGGTTAGAGGCTAGTATCTGTGGATGATATGCTCTTTATCAATACTCAGCTGACTTTTACCTTTCCTCTTGAATTCGAAATTAGTAGATTAATAATTGATATAGTCACAAAAAAATGTAAAAAGTATCTTTCCTTTTATACAGCAACGTCCTCAGGGTCTTCCGGAAATTACTCAGGATAATGAATGTAAAGACCACCAACTGAATGATTTGTCGAAGGCGAGCCTACCCATTCAGCAAAAGAAGCTACCCAAAATCCAAGATGAGAGAAAACTGGAAAAGATCGAAAAGGTAAAAAAATATGGAGAACAAAATACAAAATGTGTACTCTTCTAGTCAGTTTATCCTAAATATGCCTGAGTTTGTTGAAAACATACATGTGGTCCTTAGACGCTTGGCATTGCATTTATCGTTATGTGGGGAAATTTGTGAATTGCAGGTTGGTCATCAGAAGTTCAGTGACTTGATTGTGACCAATACGAAGCTGCTAAAGCCACTGCACTCCAGTTTAGATCTCAGGAAAAGGAGGAAGCAGGAGGAACTTAAACAAAAAGAAGTCAAGGTTTGATCAAGATACAAACATTTATGTGATTTTTTTCATTTTGCAGAAGGAAGTTTTTTTTGTTTTTGAGAATAGGTTTCTAGGATAATTGTTCTGCTTTTTCAACTGCTTTGCTTGTGCAGATGGTCCAGGCTGAAATAGCCAAGTTTGAGGAGAAACAGCACAAACTTTCCAGCTCGAGTTATGTGGCTATGTCAAGGTAAGAGAAAATGGTAAAGTTAACATAAGATACTTATAAGATACTACTTTATTTAAATGGTTCTGTTTGTAAAGGTGTATACTTATCCTCTATATTCATTATTTTCAGCCCCAGTGACCAATCCATTCCTGTGGACTCTTTCCTTGGTCCCGTCATAGAGGACACCGAAGTCCCTTCAGATAAACCAGACAAAGTGACATTACAATCCAATACCAAGTATATACAAGGAATCCGGCAGCAGATGAAGGAGAATGCTGTGGCTCGAGAGGAGAGACAAAAAAGAGTTGACAGATTTCTAATGGAGCAGTTTAAAGAGCGTGAATCTCAGCAGGTAAAACTTTGTGAAGTTTTATATTCCCAACAGGAACAAATACTCACAGTGGCATTTGTTTTTTTTCTGGAATTTTGCATATTCACGAATATCCTCAATCACATTGTGCTGTACTATGATTTTAAACCTCTGTTTCAGGAGGCGCAGCTTGAAGAACAAATGGTGCGTCGTCTGACTCGTCAGACGCAGCAGGAGCAGCGTTTGGCTGAACAACTGATGCAGATACGGAGGCAGAAAGAAGTGATTTTGGAGAATCGCCTGTTCAGAGAGCAGCAGTACAAGCGTCAGAGAGAAAAGGATTTTAAAGAAGCTCTGGACAAGGAGGCGGTGAGAAGCATATTCAATCATTCTATGGGTGATCATTGCAAAAACAAAATCTTACCAAGTACTTTTCTATGTTTTCTAGAGCAAATATTTGTATGCACTTTAAAAAAAGACAAAGCTAACTTAAAAGTAAGTTTTGATCAAGATATATGGAGTAAATACTTCTTGACCATAGATTAAAAAGTACTGTAGTTTCACTGATAGATTATTTCCCTTATTACATGAGAAAAATGTGTCACTATAAGTGAAATAATCTGCCAGTGGAACAAGTACTTTGTCGATAACGTTAGCAAGTTATTAGCTTTAAACAAGGTTTGTATCTTGCTCAGAAGAAAGGGATTTGTAAGTTAGCTTCATTTTTTCAAGTGTACAAAGATATTTGCACTCAAAACCCAACAAAATATAAGTGAGATTTTGTGTTTTTGCAGTGGGGATTTCAAGGAAATGTATGGTTTTGGTTGCTTTGAGTTAATGTGTGGTTGTGTTGTTTGGTGTTATGAACAAAATAATTTGTTAAACAGATATCTTTACGTGTGTGGGAAAGTAATAATTATTAAAGTAAAGAAAGGCATTGACAGATTTCAATATTTAAGTAAGAATTTATTATTGCCTTAATAACAGCAACATAAAGATTTTGCCATGTTGTCTCTACTAAATCCTTGCTTCTGTCTGGTCCTGTTGCAGGTTCTGGCTGAGCATGCCAGATTGGCTCGAGCAGAAGAGATCGAAAAGGAGATTGAATTTTGCAAGATGGTAGCTGCAGAGCGTGCTCACGAAAGACACGTAAAACACTATGGCCTCTGCTCAGACACTTTGGGACAGATAGTGGACATGGCAACCACAGTTGGAGAATATCGCCAAATCACAGAGAAGTACGTAACATACTTGCTTTTAAAAATATGCAAGAAACAAAGCAGGGTGTAATAATTGCAGCTTTCTGGCTGACCGGAGGTCATCGATCTTTAAAAAAACCTAACTTGCAGATTCCGATTTTGGCCAATACCAATTTTTTTGTTGTTGAGCTGGCAACAGGAGAGTCACTATTGTGAATTTTGAACATACAGACATATCCTGGTGGATCAGGCTGTCAGTCAAACCATGATATTATTGTGGTGTTTGTTCATTTCATAAAATACAACATGTTTCGAAAATTAACAATAGTCTGTTAGAGTAATGCATCTGTTGCTGTACACTATTGGTCAGCAGGCCGAAAAAAGCTTACTCACCTTATTCCCCGTTTACAAAAAAGTCTAATTCAGGTTTTTGGAAATACTTCTGGAACAGCAAAATGCAATAATATTCTGTGCAATAAGCTTGTCAGGCCAAAAACTGCTACTAAATGTAGTAGGTGTATTTTGTATTTGGATCCAAATGTATATTAAAAACAATATTCAGAGCTAACATGATTATGACAGCAATGATAATTATGTTGTGTTATTTTATCAGCAGTTAAGTAGTTCATCTGTTTTGTAATAAGGGAAATTTGATCATTTTATAATTTGTGTTTTGAGTTTTGATGTAAGTCATATAGTAGCTGATTATTGTATGAGAGTCTCGTAGTGGCCAGCTCACGTTACCTGCTGCAAGGTACTTTGTGTTAACATATAATTAAAAATATTTTTAAACTGTTTAACAAATAAATTTGTTTATGAAACAACACTTAAATTATGTTTCAATATTGTTCAGTGCTTTATGACCCTGAAGCCATTTTTCAGATCTGTGGTCAAAATGTGGATACAATTTGCTTCTTGACATTTTTCATGCTGTCATTTTCAGTCTTGTTCCAGAGAAGAAGTATAAAGAGTGGAAGGAACTGTTCATTCGGGGTGTTCCCTTCTACGAGTCACAAAAAGAAATTGAGCCAGAGATTGCATTCTTGGCAGCATTAAGCCCCCCAGAGCTTAAGAAAGAGGAGGTACTCAACAACCTGGATTATGATGAATACACTGTGAGTATGAAACTTTACTTCACTGCTTATAAATTCAGTCAGAGTGCTTTGCCGAAGGTAACACATGGCTTTTTGTTTTTTAATAAAAGAGAGCTATTTTAAAAATTCTGTCTTATTTTTAAGAATATGGTTGGTGTGTGGACGTGGTCAAAGGATAAAGAAGAAATAAAGTTACCACCGAGCACCAACGACATTCTCGCATATGCTATCCATCGAATTAAAAATATTGCTCATCCAACTGTTGGGGAACCGGCCACGGCCGTTCCTCTATTTTCTATTAAGTCCTGCATCCAGGACAAGGTTTGCCAGTGCAAGAGCAAATGCCTGGCCAAGATTGCTGAAGGTTTAAAATCTTTAAAGAAAAAAGATTTTCGTATCAAGGCATGCGTCATGGGCAAGGCTACTGCAGGCAAGACCACATCTCTGGCCAAGTTTGCTGAAGGTATAAAATTTTATTAAAAATGTGTACCTTTTAAAGTTCACACATTAAAAGTGTTTAGCCCCTGTAATTTCTACTTTGCTAAAAGAGTTGACATAAATTAAATAAAGTTAATGTTTCCTACCCAGCACATGGCGTCACTGTGTTGTCGCCTGAAACACTGATTGAAGAGGCGCTGAGGTCTGTTAGAGAAGCAGAGAAGGTAAATTATAGTGCTGGAACTTCTGTCTCAAGGCTTTGTAACCTTGTAAACTGATTTACCATTTATCTTAGTTGTTGATCTTAGTTCAAAGTTTAAAGTAGATTTTTTTTTCTTTTTAACCAACAATATAGGCTACAGATCAGCCGGAAGAGAAGGAGAGCGAGCAGCTTCCTAAATCCCCCACACAGGTTCAGCCAGGTGGTTTATTGAAGCTGTTTTTTTCTGTACGGTTTCTTGGAAAACTGTTCACACCCCTGGGACAGTTTCACAATTTTGGCATGCTACAAATTCAAATTTTAATGCATCTCATTGGCATTTATGTGATAGGCCACTATAAAGTAGAGCATAATTTTGAAGTGGAAGGAAGTTCATTTTTACTCTGTCCTATGCCTGCTCTCCTTCAAGTAAAAAAGTTAAAGATGTTTAAAAATGCTTTTCCCTGAGACCAAGTAAAATTTATATTATTTTTATTGAAGCTGCTTATTTACCTTTATTTTGAAACAGACCTAACATCTGCTTCTTTCTTTGTTTCTTTCTTTCATTCCTTACTTCCTTCTTTCTTTCTCAGAAAGCAAACCAGAAGAAAAAAAAGATTGTAGTAACAAAGTGAGTGTTCAAAGTGCTCATAATGAAATTTTAATACACTGGCTTAATTTTGTATTCCTAGTAACAGAATTTTTCAACTAGTAACATAACAAAGAGACTCTGAGAAACCTAATATTCAAATGAATACATTTTATGCATAATTATTCCAGACCTAACGTCTGTTTGTAATGAAATAGATGTAACTTTCTGTTATGTGTGATGTGTTTCTGTTATGTGTTTATGCAGATGGCCTCCATTGCAGCGTCAGTAGAAAGGGAGCTGAGGAAAGGAAATGCCATTCCAAATGAGCTGATAGTGGATAGTTTAGTTGAAGCAATCAGGTAATAATGATGTTACATGAACTATGACATACTATTGCATGGTTTAGGCAGGCCAGCTGTCCTCAGTAGGTTGACTGTGTTTGAGTGGGTAGTTGTCATGCAATTGACAGCTTTTCAGTTCCAGCTTTCTCTTGTTACATGTGCCTCCGGGCCAGGCACTTCCCAATCTGCATATATATGGATGAAAGTGGCTCCGATATAAAGCATTTTGAGCTTTATACTTGAAAATGATTTTATTGTACCATATTTTATCAATTGGTCATTTGTTGTATTGAACTAAATGGTTGGTTTCTATTGACGCAGGTTAACAACAAACTCTAAAATAGCTGATTTCCTCCCATTAGTCAGGTTCCAGCTCACTCAGGTTGGATCCTGGATGGCTTTCCAAGTAACATCACTCAAGCTCAATTGCTGGAGAAAGCTTTGGGTGGGTTTGTGGAAGAAGAACATGGCCCCGAACTCAACACATTTGAACTTGTTCCTAATCCAGAGCAGCTCAAACCACCAATATCTATTCCTCCTGTGATGGACTTGGCTGTGCTACTGGATATACCTGATGAGTCTGTGGTTAAAAGGGCAACCAAAGATAAAGGTATGATGATGCGATTGGGACTTTTTGCTCTGTGTTATGAAAAAGAACAAGGTCAATATTTTTTGGTGCTCATGTGGTCATTTTTATGGCAAAGTATCTACAGATGCTGATGCTGCTGATGCTTCTTTTGCTGTTGATGTTGCTTATGCTGCTGATACTGCTGTTGCCGTAACACCCTCCCAACCAGCAGATACCACCAGGTGTTCTCCACACATTATACACAGGTAGTGCAGCATTACACACACGTAGCACAACGTGATACTGCTGGATCGAATTCTTCTCCTGCATGACTCTTGATTTTTTTCTGGAAGGCTTGCCGCTTTTCGGGAAACCTGGCCAAAGCTAGAAAAGTGGTATGGTGAAAAGCAAAACATTTTGGTTAAAGTCGCCGCTGATGTAGAAGAGGGGGAACTTTATATCAAAGTGGAGTCTGCCCTGTGTGAGGTTCTGAGAGAGCAATATGAAGGTGATTTATTTATTTATTTTACCATTTTAGTGTTGATGTTTAGCTCAACTAGTCAGGTAATTTGTCAATTATTCCAAATAATTAAATGATTAAAATACTTTAATTCAAAGAAACCTCCTTGCTTTCAAATACTAAAATTTCCACTGCTTAAGAACAGAGACTTTTGTATATGAATCTGTCAACATGTTTTAGTGAGCCACACATATAGTATTTACTGAAATCTTGCAATTAATTCCCTCAGAAATTCCTGTCGAAGAGGAAATCCCAAAAGGTGTGGAAACAAGAAGGGGTTCTAAAGCCGGTAGGAGGGGAAGAGACTCCGGTGAGATTTCACTCTTAAGACATGATTTGATCACCTCATGCAGTTATTTTAAAGTTCATTTGTGTTTGTCAACATGTTCTATTATGCAGGAATACAATGTTTACTCAAATCTTGCAATTGACTCCTTTATTAGTTGCTGGGCTTCATGGTGAAGATGGTATGTTAGATTACATACCAAGGAGGAGGTCCAGCTCCATCGTTAAGGCAAAGCAAGGCAAGTCAGCTTTATTTATATATAGGACCTGTCAGCCAAAAGGAATTCAAAATGCTAATATAAAATCAAAAATCTAGTACAACACATCAAATCAAAAAGATAAAGTAAGAAAATTGGGTTAAGAGTAGGCATGAGCGAATAGGATATATTTTAAAACTAGTTTAAAAAAAAACAACATGTGAGCATTCCTTCATTGAACAGGAAGTTTATTCTAGATTTGATTTTTAGTAAATGGACTGAACTTATATAGCGCTTTTCCAGTCATTTTGACCACTCAAATGCATAAGAGTCACATTCACCCATTCGCACACACATTCATACACCAATACGCAGATTGGTAGGCAATTTGGGGTTAAGTGCCTTGTGCATAATAAGTGCATAATAACTAAAAGCTGCTTCAGGATGCTTTGTTGGAACTCATGGAATAGTTATTAGGTTTAGTTCAGAAGTTTTGATGGTTCATAGCAATTAGAGATGCACCAATAAATCGGCCCCGATTTCCTTATGTTTTGAAGATCGGTCATCAATGCGTAAATAGGAAGCTGATATTAACCACTGATCTCAACAAAGATCTAAAAATCACATTCCTCTATCGCTTTGCTGTGAGCAATAGAGGATATGATTCGCCGGCTGATCATGTCTGCGCATTCACACTTAAGAATAATCATCCCGCTGTTGCCAACTCAGCAGCTTTTTTGCTACAATTTACCATGAAACAAACCAATTGGTATCGGCCAAAATCAGAATCGGCAGGTCAGGTGATCAGCCAGAAAACTGCAATTGGTGCACCCCTAATAGCAATGAACAGACCAGAGATGTAGTCCAGGCTTTTACCATAACGTCCTTTGTAAACCATCAGTGAAATTTTGAACTCTATTCTTTGAGCAACAGAAAACCGATGTAAAGACCGGACTAAGATGTTGGACTCTGTATTAGAGGAGACTCTCGCTGTGAAGACTCTTCAGCTTCTGAAGAAGCTTGTTCAATAGGATCAAGGGGGACTCTTGATGTTATTGATTTTTTTGGAAGTCCGAGCAAAATAACATTATAATAATCAAGTCTGCTAAAAACAAAAGCATTAATTATTAATTTTTCAGAGTCCTGTTGAACATGTTAAACCAATTGAAAGGAGATGGGCATTAATTTTCAACCTATGCCTTTTCTGAAGAAAATTTAGACTCATCCAAATGTTAATTTGTTTAATGCATTTATGAAGTACACGCACCTGACTAAAGTCTCCTGGCAATAGGCATAAATATAGTTGTGTTTCATCAGCATAATTATGATGCTCTACATGATTATTCTGCAAAATTTCAAAAGATAAAATTATGTTGAGGAGAGGACCCCAAGTGGAACCTCTAGGAACTCCACAGAGATTTATTTAGTTTAGATTTTTGTGTGAATATGGATAGAAAGAGGGGAAGAGATTCAAATGAGATTTTACTCTTGATATAAAAATATTTAAGACATTTGATCAGCTGCAGTTATTTTAAAGTGAATTTATATTTGTCAAACATTTTTACTGAGCATAAATACAACACTAACTAAGTCGTTGCAATTAATTCCCTAATTAGTTGCCGTTGATCTTCTTGCTGAAGAAGTGTTGTCGGAGGGCTCCAAACCTCAGGAAAAAAGGACTTCTATAAGGCCCGCCTCCAGCCTCAAGAAGGCAAAAGACACAAGTCAGATTGTACTCTTGATCTACAAACATTCATTAAGACATGATTTGATCAGCTGCTTTTGAATCATACCTTGTTTTAAAGTTAACTTGTACATTTTTGTGTGATAAAAAGGATTTTCTGACACTGTGGTAACGTCCACTGGGTCTGTTGACCCACTCAATGACAATATCCAACCACCAGGATCATTCGCAACAAATCCGCTCTACGTAAACGAAGCTCTGGCTCCAGTAAGATATATTGTTTTTATTGACATGCTTTATTTGTTTATTATCTCCAACATTTAGTTGTAACTCTTGCATATATTACAAAAATGTATTCATTTTAGCCACCTTGTAACATTTATAGTACCTTGCAAAGCTCTTTATAGACGTTTTGTCTTGTTACAGCCACAAAAGTGTATTTTATTGATTTCTTTGCTAGACTTCTAGTCTCCTATCTGTCAGAGATAACTGATATTCATCTTTTCCTTATTTTGCTATTACTATCCTCCTTCTCTGCTGTTGATTAGTTCATATTTTCCCCTTATTATCTTTCTCCAGCAAGTACCTGAATACCTGTGTTCACACTGGAAAGATGTCTGTCAGTCTTATGTAAACAGCATAAGGCATATAATGCAGCAGCTGCGTTTACAGCTCACTCTTATTGATCGCCACCTTTTCAATATCAGGTATCATGTTCAGTCTTTTGGTTTCTATGTTTCAAATTGAAGCACCAACTGCCCTTTGTGTGAAATTTTCCAGTTTACAAGCTAACAAGAATTGATTGTTCAGTTAAACCAAACATATTCAGATCCACATTCAGCCACCAACAGTTTATAGCATATTTGATTCTTTTTAGAAATGCAACTTATGATTATTTTAGCTATTAATTAATCTGTTGATTATTCTCATGATCAATTGATTATTGGGATAACAAAATGACACATTCTGCATTTCTCTTCAAAGCCATTATTAAAAATACATTAATAGATGCAAATTTGATCATTGGGAGCAAAGGATGCAGATAAAAAACACTTCTAACATCAACATGTAAAAATCTCAGGCCTTTCTGCTTGACTAACATCTATACAGTGTAGGGCTAATATGCTTAATAATTTTTGATTAACCAATCAATCATTGGACAGCAAAAGGCGCTCGAGCAAAAGGAGATTTTGAATTGGATAATTGAATAATTTGAACCATGTGAAGCTAAAACCACCAGTTCAGTAGTTTTGGGTAGAATGGATTTACAGACAAAAATGTTTCCTTCTATAATCTTAAATGCATACCTATATATTTCACTACAGTTTTGGCTTATGTACTGCGCTGAGTAAATTCTTTCAGCAAATGACCCTTTTTCAAGACTATACATTAGTTAACAACTAATTGATTGTTAAATTGGGTGATAATTTTTACAATAATCAATTCATCATGATCAATTTTTTTGTTTCTAGATTTTGTTTTGCACATGTTCTCCTGGTTGTTTCATGTCAGAATAGGCATAAATGTTATTTGTTCTAATGTGGGTGCTCAGAAAAGGGGTTTAGAAGTGTTTATAGTTTTTCTCTATAGTATTTTGCAGTTAATGTAAATCTTTCTAATTTTATTGTAAAACTGACACTTTTTCAGAGAAAGATACAACCACTTTTTGACTTGCCCTGACTTGAAGCAGGAGTTAGTTTCTCAGTGGCAGAAGGTGTTCAACAGCGTACCAGATGACATGAGAGAAGATGAGGAGACCAAAGCAGAGCTTCATCTGAGGCTGGATGTAAGACTACATTAGAATATGCTGTACTCTGATGCAAAAGGAGCAAACAGATTATGTGCCCGTCATTTAAAAAGGAATAAAAAAAACCCTGAGTGGATCCGATGTATATTCAGGAGCTGCAGGAACGCCTGTGGGACATTACCGACAAGCGTAAAGAAGAAGACGAGCAGGAGAGGGCGGCCTTCATGTATGATGGATGGGTGGAGGAGCAATCAGGGTTGCTCATCAACCACTACTCTATGATAATACAGGTAACTTGCTAACTATATGCAACTGTTTATGGTTTGATGTTACAGAAATTTTGAAATCCCAGCATTTCCTTGGTTGTGTCCTACAGACAGAAATGAACCGTTTCCGTGAAACTCTCTATACCTTGGCGGTCTACTACTGGGGCATGCAGAAACAAATACCGCTTAGGACATCTCCCAAAGATTTCAGAATCAGACTGATGAAAGAAACTGGAACTGAAAATCAGGACAGTGATCAAGTTATGTAAGAACCTTAAATATACAGTACCTCACAAAAGCATTTATTAGCTTTAGTAGCAGCAATGCTTACAACTTCCAAGTTCCAGTCACTGCGCTGGAAGAAAAAGCAGAATTTGACACAGACATCCTTTATATTAAAGTTATTGTGTTTCTCCATAGAGATATATCTTATTTATTTAACCTTGATTTAGCTTGGTAGTCATTGTCATTTAGATTAAGAATCTTATTTTAAGGGAGACCTGGCAATAATAGGAGGCAGCATAAAACAGAACATAAATATATATTTATATTTACATGAAGTGAGGCTTAAACTCAGGAGTTCTGGGTAGAATGTATTTAAAGGCAAAAATCACAAAAATGTGATTGTTTAATTTCTTGAAATTGTTTTCATGTCAATTGTAAGTTTTATACCAAAAATATCATGATATATATTGTTACTGCCATCCATCACAATAAATATGATTTTAATTCAATATCACATATCCCTACACCTAAATGTTATCAAAAATCTGTGGTGAGACCAAAATTGCTTTTCACAGACACTCTCTGTTCAAAGAAAAACGATTTTTCATCCACCTCATTATTATATGTGTTTTTTCCTGAACTGCCCCATAAAATGTAATTAAAATGCATTGAATAATGAAGCTGTCACAACACAGTCTAAAAAACGTTTAAAGAATATAAATACTTTTGTACTACATTGATTACTTATTGAAATGAGCATAAATTAATAAATGTGATGGAACGTTACTACAGGCTAATGAAAATTACTTAAAAATGTGTTTTGTTAGTACGGAGCCATTGAGCAGTATTGTGAAGGACCAGACAAGTGATAAAAAACTGTAAGTAGAAGTACATCAGTTGTCCTCTGAAAAGCCTGTTGATGCTATACACTTTAACATATATATTGTGATAACACATTATGTACACCTGATTGTTCTCTACTTTTGTTAGACCCCCTGAGTCCACGAAGTCTTCCTCTAAGATATTAGACAATGTAAATGTCACTTTTAGTGTTATACTTTATTCTGATCAATAAGCACAGCAGATACTGATTCTTTTTGTTGTTTCTTCTAGTTATTTAAGGGGAAACTTATAAGTGACTACGAAGAGGCTCTTCAAGCAATTCAAACTATCAAGGATTTGGTAATGTTATTTTTTGTTAGCTTGAAGAGTATTTTAAATGTTCTCTACCCATTATACTACCTACCTTTTTGCTGTAATGACTCTTGCTGGTCTTTCAAATTGTGTAGGTGTCAATAGAATCCCAGCTGAAAGAGGCAGAAGTGCCAGAAGAGATTGTAGAAGAAAAAGAGATCGTAACAAAGAAGACAAGTCCAAAAAGTTCTAAAAAGGAAAAGCAAAAAAAGCAAGCAGGCATGATACTTAACAACCTTTAGAAAGTATATGTACTGTAATTGTTTAATTTCCTTTTTTAAATCCGCCCTCCTTTATAATCTTTTACTTTCCACAGCATTACCTCCACCAGTAGTGGAGATTCCAACCCCAAAACCTCCAGAAAAAACTCAAGAACAAGAACTTAGAGAGAAAATATGTAAAGAATTTGCAGCTGCTGTGAGTCATGAGGGTATGTACAACGACACCATCTGCCCCACTAACATGTAGTCAAGTATTTATATGATCATGCAGTGGGTTGTTTTAATGTTTGTTCCTGTATGTAGTTACTTTTATGCACAGAGATAACATTGTATTTAGTACTTTATTGGGTATTTGTCCTGTTTCTGTGTCTTTTGTAGAAAATTCAATAAAGATTCGTCTTGAGCTGGTCAAAGATTGTGGCCTGACAATGCTCAACAACCTGGAAAGCATAGTGCATGAGACTTTTGGCAAACTGGAGAAGCAGTTTGAATCATGCTATCTGTCCGAAATGAAGTGGTATGAATATTTAAACATCAGTTCACCTTATGGTTTGATGTGGTTTGACCATATTTGTGTATGTACAGCAGCCCTTTACATCGTGTGGTTTACAAATGCATTCATACCTCTAGAAATTCTCCCTATTTTGTTACACTACTACCACAAACTTTAATAGCATAGTAGATTATAGTGAGTAGCATAAACCGGATTTGAATATTTTTGGTTGTACTGAAACATATTTGTATTCTTAGTGTAAAGGGAGTTTGAACTTCTGTATTTGACTTGTTGGAGAAACTATAGTGTTTTTTAGCTGTTTGATGTAACTCATAATGCCCCACAATACTTAGCAAATGTCTGTCATTAATTTATGGAAATGTAGAAAATAATTTTGGTTAAATCCATTTATTTTAATAGAAACCGTATTGTTTGTTGACCATTTTCAAAACCATACTTTTTTTTATTATTTTGTCCATGTGGGGGCGCTGTAGATATAGATAAAACCTGACTCAGATATGGTCCACTCAGAGTCCTGACCTAAATACACTAAAGTGTGGTATATGGCTTGATTTGAAAATTGATATTCAGAGATGGTCTCCATTCAGTCTGACTCAGCCTTAACTATCAATGGAAGATGAGCAAAAGATGTAATGCTCAACCTCTTCAGAGCAGCAGGTAGAAATATACTCAAAAGACCTGCTGCAATTCTGAGTGAGCATGAATGCACACCACTATTCACTACTTTGTGCTTGTCTATTTCATAAAATCCCATTAAAGTGCAATGCATATTATGGTTGTGATAAAATGTGAAAATATTTAGGGGTCTTAAATGCGACAAAGTATTTTAAACATGTATTGCGTACAGAATGTTTTAATTTTTCTGTTTCCAGTATCGATCAACTTGGAGAAGTGGTTCGCTACCACATAGAGGCTTCGAGTAAGCTGCAGTACGAGCTGGTGATGGTTTGTAGAGCCTTTCATTGAGTCTTTTTAGTCTACTCGTGTGCTTTTATTATAAAAAACTGAGACCAGTTTTTTTGTTCTGTACTTTAGGAAGACCGTGAGTTCTATTTGAATGGAGATTGTCTGTTGGTTTCGGGTGTGGTTCTCCCACCGCGTCCCCCTTCCGTGGAGAAATCAAATCGGTCCATACTGACGGTTGCTCAGTTGGAATCACTCTTCAATCATCTGATCAACATAGCTCCATCAGGTTCATGTGTACACCAGAGACTAATTGGACTGTTACTAAGTTTATTATTCTTCCCACTCATCAACCCATAATTGTTTTTCCCTTTCTGTCTTTTAGGCTTTATGTCCAGTTCTGACTTCTTTTACTTTTTCCAAGATTTGGTCTCTAACAGCACAGGCAGGAGCATTGTGCCCGAGGCCTGGACAGATATGATTGAAATTCAGGTATTCAGCAGGTTTGAGGCTCTCAGTGACCAGAGGAGAGGTGGTCTTTCTCCTTGAATTCTCTGCTTCTGATATCTGTTCATTTGTAATGTTTTATTTTTTTCAGGTGTAGCAGTGAATACAGCGGAAATTTTATTTTGAATGAGCAGTAAATGCCATGTCCTGTCTTTTGCTTTCAGCTGTTAGAGATTAATTCTTTGCTAACTGATGAATATGAGCTGGTAGACTGGCGACGCTTTATGCTCAGCGCTACTCTCCCGTGGCCGCTTCCCTCTCTGTCACAGCTGCTGTATTTGTTGAAACAATTTAAGGAAGCAGATTCTAAAGACACCGGATTTATAAACGAGGAACAGTACCTAAAGGTTAGCATCTATCCTGAACCCAGATTTCACATTAATTTGAACTATTTGTGTGGGTGGGTGTGCATGACTTATAACATGTCCAACCCCGTTCTGTTTGTTTGTGAGAAAAATAAACCTATAATGTGTAAATAGAAGCTGTCACAGAAATTAGTTTCATGGATTGGTTGATCAGCTTTTCTTTTTTCTTCTGAACAGGTAGAGTTGTGGTTTTCTGGTCAGAGTGTCCAGAAAGTTCCTGAGGATCCTTTAGAGCCTCTCCCCTATGACCGTTCAGCAAACCTGCAGAAGGTAACAGGCTAGAGTTTAACTTCTTTACTTCTAATCCAAAAAGAAATTTGATTTGTCCACACCATAAACTTGAATGTTTTTTCAGTTGAATTTTACGTGACAGACCAAGCCATCATTGTGAAAGGGAAAAAACATAATGAGTGGTTCTAATTTAAAATTACATTATCAAAAGTGTGTCACAAAAAATCCAGTATAGCTGATTTCCCTCAGAAGTTACTCAATTGGTAGATATATTTCACCTGTGTGTGATCTCACTTCATTTGTAAAAGATTGGTAAATGTTTCCAAATGTTTGTTGAATAAAAGCCAAACAATTAGCTCTTTACTGTTTATCACACACCATGTCAGAGGACACAGAAAACAGGTCGAATGAAACTGGAAGAAAACCTTTTAGCCAAACATAATCTATAGTAGAAATGTGGCCATGGTGGTGGCAGTATCATTATGAGTAGATACTGAGATTTTTCACAGGCGTTCTCCATCCAGTATCTATGAGAATGTGAAAATGTTCTAAGGGTATGGATACATTTGCAAAGAAGTCTAAGTAATTAAACCTTTGCAGTTTTTACATTCCACTGTTGGTGATTTCAAAAGATGGTGGAACTTTTGTTTTGTCTTACATTTCAAATCAACACACCTGCAAAACACTGAAATAATTATTAATTGATACTTGTATCAATTTGTTTCTGTTGTAGTTCTTTTTCCACTTGTTTGCAGACCATTCCTCCTCTCCTCCTCTGCTGGATTATGTGTCCATGCTGCAGTACTTTGCAGCCAACCCAATCCCCAAACAGGGTTTTATAAGAGCACTTAGTGTAGTGTTGGGGAAACATCTCCAGCAGCCATTACTGAGCCTTCTCGTAAATGTGAGTATATAAAAAGCAAAGTGAGTCAAATCAAACCCAGATGTTGTGCTATATTTCTGTATTTGTTAGATTATTTTATATAAGCCACGCTCATTTCTTAAATTGACATAAAGGATTTTTCAATACAGTCTCTACCTGGCACGGAAGAAACCACGGAGCCCACATCCTTCAAGTTCACTGAAGACTACAAAGAGGAGGATGTTCTGTTTTCATCTTGCAGTTTTTTTAAGGACGAGGAAGTTCCCATTTCTGCTCTGCTTAGCGTCATCTGCCACAAACTCACCAAGATGTGGGGCATTACCCTTCCTCAAGGGAGCATGACTTACGAACAACACAGACAGGTATTTAGGAATTTCAGTTCAGCAAATTACTAATATTTAGGTTTGGAAGAAAATGTGTTCCACTATAGTGTGAATTTTGATCACAATTCATGTTACATTCTGTTAAATCTATAATAATGACGAATTACCCAGAGAGCAACAATAGACCTTGTTTAGCATCTCGTTATATTTAAGCTTCATTTAACCAAAGCTCACACACATAACACCATATTAGATTTAATGACTAAATATAAATATTGTGGTTATCAAATTAATATGTAAAGGATTTAGCCTAGTCCTAATTTAGAAGGTGACAACGGAGAGAGAATGAATTTTTAATGAAGCAGGCAGGTCTTTTGTGCCAGGCTGTTTTAGTAGGTTTGTCATCAATCTAAAACATAAAAACGCATTGCCCTGCAGCATGATATCACTGAGTCTCTACAGGCTGGCTTCAACAACAATTTCTTGAATTCTGTGTGGGAAAAGCAGAAATAAAAGGTTAAATTTCAGGGATTCTCCAATTCTATTTCCTTATCCAATAAAATGTTCACCCAATAGGTTTGGATTTTTGGTTAGAATCAGACACATTGAGAAGATACTGATTAGTTTGGAGCCTCTTATGGTCCATTTTGTAAAGTTTTCAATGCAAAAATGGTCACTAGGAATTGTTTGTCTTTATTTTTATTACTGAAGTTTCCTGACCTGCTAATTAATCTTTTTGTCTCTGCTGTCTGTTCAGAATCTTGAGAGTGTGTACATTGAGCTGGGATACGCGTGCAATGAATCAGTCCCATTCTCTGTTATTTCTAAGCATCCATACACCCAAATGCTGATGGAGACTTCAACAAACTTCCAGCTCATTGTAAGTTTTTACCCATTTTTAAGTATGTTCATTTATCTTTTTATTCCTAGACATCTTACCCAACATTTAGTTGCATAATTCAGCATTATATGTATTTATCTTGCCCCCACCTTATTTGCAAATTGTTATTTCAACCAATAATACCAATACTAATATGTTAACTGTCTTTCCTTCAGAATATTCCGAATTCTACTGTCCCACCAGGATGAAAAGGAATTTAAACCGTTTTTGTTTAATGTTTTCTTTGTTGTTAAATAAATAGAAAGTGAAACCATACCTGCACTGACTGAAGTGGTTTAAACTGAACTGAAATTGGGGATTACATTATGTTTGAAACAACAATCACCTCAGTGATGGCAGGAACGACCTCCTTAACTTGCCTTTTCTCAACGCACTCCTGCAGTTTTTCTGAGTGACTTGCTTTTCTAATGGCCTGCTTAACACAAGCAGCATCATTTGTGCTTACAATGAGAGCATTGTCCAGGATAACCTGCATGTCAAGCTTCACTGACTACAGACGGCCAACGCACATTAAACTCCTATCAGGGTTCATTCTGCAGAACTCCTTATTGGTTTGTATGACATTTACCTATTTGTTCATGGTTGATTCCCAAGGAGAAGGACTTTGTGTTTTTTAAGAAGGTTGTAAAGAATGTTTGTCAACTTTTTGACTGCATTTTGTGTCTATTTGAAAAAGTCTTCTAAACTTTTTTAAACACAGAACTGCTGCAGTTCTATGTTTAAATCAACTGAGAAGAAAACTGCATGCTTGAGATTTAATGTTTCACCTTATTTTCTAACACTTATTTCACATAATGCTTTTATGTGTCAGATATAAAACATCAGCAAGTCACTGTGCGCCTGTTTAAACATTCACTATAATTTTAACGGCTTATTTTTGCTTCTATTTTCATCTTTTTTTTTTGTCATTGCCTTTATGGCTTCATTACATTTACATGCCTGCAAAAGCAGCAACTCCGCTCTGTGCTGGTGAAAACATAGCTATGTAAAATTATGTGATCCCTTACAGATTTCTTCGGTTTTTGACTTTTATAAAACTTAAGTGTTTTATTTATTTATATATTCTGTGGGATATTAATATTTATGGAAAAAAACAAAATGTTACAACCCCATCTAGTGGCCAAATAAAAATACAAGTTCGTGTCTCATTAATATACTAACTAGTTCAATCATTAATTGTATACCTAAGAAGAGCTGCTTGAACTTTTCAGCTCATATTGTTATGCATCTGCTGTCCTGTATCAATAATATTCACTAAAAACAAAACAGTGAGGAATAAAATAGGGAAAATAATGCTAGTTAGGAATGTTGCTTTTAGTTTAAGTAGTATTTCTTTCATTCATTTTTATTTCTATTGTTAGAAATAACAATAGAAATAACGTTTTTATTCACCTGTCTAAAATGTATCATTATTGTCACTGTACCTTTAACGCAAATTAATGTTTTACTTTATGTCACATCTTACTGTCGGAACGTAAGTAAGATTTAATATGTGAAGTTTGAAGAGCATATTACATTTTTAAATGTCTACTTGTTATTTATTGTCATTATTTATTTTTCACATCCTTCATATGAAGCCATTTAACTTTCCAAGGATTTGGCCTTCTGACACATTCAACTGTGATTGGCTGCGGCGCTGCGTTTTGATTGGTCGATCTGGACAAGCGAGCGTGGCTGGACGTCAATGTTTATGTAGCTCCTCTGTCGGGTTTGTGCAACAGCATCAAGGTCTCCGCAATGTGATTTCCTGACGCTGATTTGTCGTCTTGTCCGGTTTAAGCTCGCCGTTCTCCGTCCCGTTATGTCGCAGCCTCTGGCATGGGGCCCCACTAGCCGGTGAAAGACGGAAGAGACGGAGGAAACCGCCGGAATGGCAGGCGCCTTTGGCTTCAAAGGCTGCCAGAAAATTCGCGGTGCGCAGATCAGGGTTCTGCTCGAAGCGAAGGACTTCTTCCTCTTCGACTGCGACGGGGTCATCTGGCACGGAGAGAATGCGATCACGGGAGCCGCCAAGGTGGTGAACGCGCTGATCCGCCGCGGGAAAAACGTGGTGTTCGTCACCAACAACAGCACCAGGCCGCGGGAGAATTACGTGAACAAGTTCACGCGCCTGGGCTTCACCGACGTGATGCTGGAGCAGATCTTCAGCTCCTCCTACTGCTCGGCCCTCTACCTGAGGGACGTGGTGAAGGTCCGCGGCCAGGTGTTCGTCATCGGCTGCGAGGGGCTCCGCAGGGAGCTGCTGGAGGCGGGGATCCCCTGCGTGGAGGAGGCGGACGACCCGGACGCCACCATCTACAACTGCGCCCTGGCTCCGGACGTGAAAGCGGTTCTGGTGGGACACGACGACAAACTGACTTTTCTCAAACTCGCCAAAGCTTCGTGCTACCTGAGGGACCCTGAGTGTCTGTTCCTGGCCACCGACAACGACCCGTGGCACCCACTGTCAGGTGGACGGATCCTGCCAGGTATGATGATGATGATGATGAAGCTTGACCCAGTTACAATCAGCTCGTTCAGGCGGACAGTTTAATATAATATCTTATCTCTGATCAAACCTAAAGCTTTGGAGTTGTGTGTGAGTCTTTCATTCATTCCACCTTTTGTTTGAAATACTACAAATGTTATTGTTGCTGTTCTCTGCTCATTGTTTTTCTGAAGTCTCATTTTCTCACATCCTTGTGAAGATGATGTTTCTGTTTCAATGCAGAAGAGAATATGAATGTGTGAATAGAACTTGAACTGACTACATAATCTCAGATGAGCATCATTGGAACTCACCTTTGCTCTGGAAACAATCAGGCTAGCTAATGATTCTATTGAGTTATTAACTGTTCTCGCAGCATCAAAGATCACCTGTGTTGAATATTTAGGGTCAAGAGAATGACCTTTGACCGTCATTTTCAAGTCTTAGTACAAATTCTCCTTTAGTTTTAGTTCTGGACATCCCTTCCCATGCAGATGCTTCAATCTTCACCTTTCCATTGAGATTCATCTGTATGCTGCTGGAAGGTGAATTATTTGAATTCCTTTCTTAGGAAGGAACCCAGTTCCTCCCTTATTATTATTATCGTCACAGTTCTGATTACAGATACTCTCAGTGAGTGCCTGTCCCAACCTAAAGTCTTTCATAGCTTTTAAAAGTTTTGCTCCCAGGATTGCCCAGTATTTACAAAAATTAGTCCAAACCCCTCTTTAATGACTGCTGTCCAAATGGAAATTATGGCACTCATTTTAATTTATCATGCAATTGATTTATTGCTTAATGTGACAGGCTTACATTTTTTTACCCAATGATAGCCATAAATCTCAGATGCAGCATGATGCTGCCACCTCAGGAATAGTGCGTTCCAGTTGACATGCAGTGTTAATTTACTATCAGTGTTTTGGTTGTGAGTCAAAAGTCCAATTGTATCTGGCATTTACTATTTAAATTACACAGATTAACTTTATGAATTACTTGACTTTATATGTGAATTTCTTGCAGTTTTTTTGATGCATCAATGTAAATACAAATGCATAAGACACATTTAACATCAGTGATATGATGTAAGTCTATGTCATAACACTTAGAGCCTCTTTCTGTTCTTGATGTTTTGCTCTCTGTAGGTTCTGGTTCCCTCACTGCCGCCCTGGAAGTGGCGTCGGGCCGTAAAGCGACTGTGATCGGCAAGCCGAGCCGCTTCATGTTCGAGTGCATCTCCAGCCAGTTCAGCGGCGTGGATCCCGCCCAGTGCCTGATGGTCGGGGACCGATTGGAGACCGATATGCTGTTCGGGTCCAACTGCGGCCTGGACACCATGCTCACCCTCACCGGCGTGTCTCAGATCGAGGAGGCCCAGGAATACAGAAGCAGTGACCTGACCACCAACCACAGCTACGTGCCTGACTACGTGGTGGACACCATCGCCGACTTCCTCCCAGCTTTTGAAGAAATAGAAGAGCAGAACGATTGACGAACGAGTTCGTCGGCAGCACAGATCGCTTTTGCGACATTACGAGTGCAGTGTTGAGTCTCACGTTTGCACAAAAATGTTCCAGTTCATGGGAGGAAGGGGAAGGGGGGAAAAAAGCGCTGCTTGTATCAAAAGCAACGCACATCTCGGACGAATATCTGAAAATATTAACCTGTGCATTCCTCAGTGTTTCTTCTAGTGTTGTGGTCATTTGTGACTGAATGTTTCATTGTTGCTGTGTTTAATGGATATACTGCATTTTGTTAATCGAGTCCATTGGTAGTATTTGATATTAGGGTTTTGAACATTCAAAGTTATTTTTGTAAAACCATGAATTAGTCTTAATTCATGTGTTTAGGAGCTGGTATTGTTTCGTGAATGCAGAATAATTTCCTCTGATCTGTGGCTGAGTGACACTTCGAGGTGAAACTTGCAGCTCTGGCAGAACATAAAGTGGAGACTGTAGGCGGAGTGTCTTCTCACCTGTCATGTCTGTACTTCATTGTGCCAACATTTATCTGGGTAATGAACAACAATGGACTGACTCTATTTTGGAGAACATTAACGGTGGCCAGTGTTAAGCACTGACATGGGAATATTAGTGTTGTGAATGTTTTTACCATTTAAAGCATGCCAGCAATGGTATCAACAATAAAATATCTGAGGAGCAAATTAAACATTGTTAATCTGATCCACAGCAGTTGCCTCTTTTTTCAACTAATGCTTCGAATATTTCTCGGATGCCCTTGTTGTTGAAAAAAAAAAATTTCATAAACCAAATCATTATAATCAATTTAATCCAGTCGCTCACAACAAAACAGTTTCAAGAATTTTAATAACCACTTTTTTGACATTTTCCCTGCTTTAAAATAAAACCAGACGTCATTATATTTTGTTGACTTGCATTTGAGGATAGTTACAGTTCATGTGTAACTCCATCAAATTTAAATGATCATTTAAAACCAAGCTGTCTCCACTGCTGTCATGGTTGAATTTTATTGAAGGAAAGAAAAATTATGGCTTTTTTTGTGCATTACCATGAAACCATCCTTCAGTGTGAACTCAACGTACATTGCAATTATTTAAAATAAACATTATGTACATTGCAACAGCATTTATGTCATATCTTCTGAATCTCACAGCATGAGGGTTGTGCTGATGAGGAGAAGAAGGATTCATCTTCCTTTGGCTGCAGAGAATGAATCGTTTCGGATCACTCTGGTCCACCGCGCTGAGGCAAAGAGAAATTACAATTCAGTGTTTAAAAAGAAGAAAAACGGCACCTAATATCCAATCGTT